TTGGGTGGGTTCTTTACCTTGCCAATTTGAAGAATGAAGTTCCCGGACACAAATATTGGAAGGTGAGAACAAAACAGCAGGATTTATTAAAGTAATAGAAAGAAAGCAGAGCTCCCAAAGGGGGTTGCCAATGGGTATCTGTTGCCTAGGGGTTAAAGTAAGAGTTAAGTAAGTTGGCCCCCACCCCAATCCTGGGCAAGGCACTCAGTGCCCACAAATTCTTCACTCATTCTTTGGTACAATCAGGTTATCTAACTGGTGCCTTTTTGGAGGGGTCTGGACACAAGGCAACAGATGTCTCACTATCAGTTTTTCTGCTTCCATAGAAATTAACCTGATCTTGATGAGGCCTGGCTTTTTTTGTCTGCAGTTTAAGGAGCCCAAGTTTCCTTTCTATTTTAACTCTTTCTCCTTCCTCACTAAGAAGAGAAGGCAACTGGAAACCAGCATCCCTTGCTGTAAGCCTAAGATAACTATGCAAGGACTGCTTGTTCCACCTGAGCACCACTTAGCTCCTCTCCTGCCTGCAGCCAAGCTGCCCTTCCGCTCTGCATAGGTGGATTCTGCTTCCTGCTTCCAGGCAGGGCCTGAACTCAATACACCAGAGCTCTTTCTCCAAGCCAGACCCTCTGCTGTGACAGCACCACCCTTCTGACTATTTCTGACTTGCTGCAGAGGCTTTTAAAATATTCTCCCTTGGATGGGAATGGGAAAGACAGTAGAATGAATCAGACATAACTTTCCTATGTTCATATATGAATACACAACGTGTGTAACTCCATACCTTGACAACCACAAGAATGGGAAGTTATACTCCATGTATGTACAATATGTCAAAATACAGCCCTACTGTCATGTATAACTAAAAAGAACAAAAAGAAAGAAAGAAAATATTCTCCCTGCCTCAAGGGAGGGCCCCTACTGGGTTGGGAGCTCCCTGTGTGATTGGGAGCCTTCTCTTCAAGTAGAAGAGGCAGGTAAGGGCCCGGGGTCTGAATATTCTATAGTCCAAACAACCTCACTCCAGGGAACTTTCTGGCCACAAGTGCAGGACTCACACATTCTACACCAGATAGCTGAGGGACTCTTGTTCACAGGACCATTTCAGGGGAAACCTCACCCAATAGATGGAGGGACCCTGACTTGTAGCAGATGAGCACAGGCTCTCCTTGAAAAGGCTTCTTCTCTCATTGTCTCTGTCCCCTCCCTCCCTTACCCCCAGGGTCTCCTGGCCCACAGCCTTTCTCTGTTAAACAAGTTCATCATTCTGGAAGGCAGGTTCATGGAGTGTGCTGGAGCTAGGAATGTTCTGGAAGGGGATCCAAATAAATAGGAAAATAGAGCATGAGTCAGGAGGCTTGAGCTTGAAGCGTGTGTGCATGTGTGTGTTGTGTGTGCACCTGTGAGTGACTGTGTGTGTGTGAGTGTGTACTGGACCAGAGCAAAGGGGCGCTCTAAATTCAACCAAGCCCACCCAGATGGCTCTCCACCCCCAAACTTTGTGCCAGGTTTTCATTGAAACACCATCCCACCCCCTTTCTCTCCCCAGTCACTACTGATCCCAATGATCCCAGCCTCCGCTCTGCCAATGGGAAGGGTTTTTCCAGCCTGGTGCTCACCAGCTTGTGACCAACTTCCAGGTAGAGTAAAGGATTAAATGGAAGGCGCAATAAGAAGTGAAACAATTAGAATTTCTGCCTCATTATCATGGTAATCTTATCAGTCGGATAATGAGGTATTAATGGAGATTTAATGTGCATCTCATAACAGAATCCCTTGGAGAAAACACACAGGGAAATTGCTGTAAATCCACTTAATGATGGAGAAGTCCCAAAACACCATATTCCAAAGGATGAAAAATGCAGGATGCAAATGAGAAAGAATCAAGGTCAATAACACCGCGGGGACGGGCCTAATGGCAGATTTGGAGATATATGTAATAAAAATTGCATGTTGCTTTTAAACCTCACCCTCTGTTGTTTTCAAATATGCATTCCTAGTAATGAAACACAGAAGTTCAGCCAGAATGATTTGTATGTTTTAGAAACCGTAGGGGGGATGGAAACACGTCTGGAAACCCATCAGGCCCCCCATGGGGAGCCATGGGAAATGGGGTGTTTTACCAAGAGTCCTCCAAGTGAAGGGGCGGGGGCAGAGAAAGAGCCCTTGGAGAGGGAAAGCAGCCCAGCCAAATTCAAGGTCATTTGGGAAATGCATGGGAGGGAGTCAATGCATTCACTTCCTCTCTTTCTGGTGCCACTGGCAGGTCAGCTCAGGAAGGTGGACAGAGATATAAGCCCAGGATAAAGGCTCCGATAGAGAGAATGCCTACTATGAGCCAGACACTGTCAAAAGGTCAAATGTGAATCATCTCATTTAATCTCATCAGCAACACTGGGAAGCAGAAGCTATTAAGATTCCCATTTTTCAGATAAGAAACTGAAGCTCAAAGAGATTAAGCTACCTCAAATTGCACCTTGGCCTGAACTTCATCATTACATTAGGCTGAACGCTGTGAGATTTCCCATGTTTGACTGTTTGGGAGCCACACAAAGGGAAATTCAAGCTAATACCTATTTCCCAGCTCGGACCCCTTGTAAATATGGGAGCATCTAAGAGAAAAGGCAGAAAAGGGGCAGAAGCTGCATGCTGAGCAGAGGGCTACAGAATCCAAGGAGCTGCCAGGTCTGCAGCCTCAATGGGGGTAAGGGAAGAGGATCCGATGCTCTTGCCATGGGACTCAGTGGGACTCAGTCAGAGAGTACAGCGTAAGCAGAAAGGAAGCCCCAAAATACTCATCCAGTGATTTAAAAACACCATGTAAATCTAGAAATACTGAGCAAACATTGGCTGTTTGGATCTTGTCATTTATTGATGATCATAAATAACCTTGGGTCTCCCAGATGTTTCTCAAGATTGAAGGTAACATTAGCCTTATTTTTGGTTTATTTTAGGAAATGGGGAAGGAGAGTTCCGTGGGTGCCAAGAGTGAAAGTGACCAACTGTCCTGGTTCACCTGGGACTGTCAGGATTTAGTCCTAAATGATGCCACATCCAGGGAAAACCCTCAGTGCTGGGCAGATGGAGATGGCTGGTCACCCTGTCCAAGCACGGAGGTCTGGACTCCCAGGGTTGTAGTCAGGAGGTGATGCAAGGCCATGTGCATCCAGTGCTGGGCAAGGATCAGTAGATAAGCTTGCTATGGTCATGGGTTGTCTGGACGAGCCTAGGTCCTCTGACTTAGTGACAGCCCGTGAGTGTACAAAGACAGAGGAGGAGGCCAAAGAACAAACTTCACCACACAGTGACTGACCGGGCTCTGGAACAGCCAGGGGACACCCAACATCTCCCTTATTCCTCTCAGGAATCCTGCAGCAAGGGCATTGCCCACTTGACAGATAAGGGAGCTGAAGTGAGGGCTGCTGCTGGGCCTTGCCCCAAAACACAGCATCCCGTGGGCAGCTGAGGGGCAGAAGAAGGATGACAGGACCCTGCTTGAGGATAGGTGTGGCTCCCTGAGAAGGGGTCAGCCTGATCCAGGGAAAGGCAGGAATCGGGCAGTGTTGCTGGGGCCTTGCAGCTGTGTTCCGTTTAATCACAGACTACAAATTGAATGAAGTTAAGACAGTGTTGCCTCTTTGAATTTCCCCCAGGCCCTGTTGAATGAATAAATAGGCATGATTTGTAATTAGCTTATCCATTGTGCGAATGCTTCGAGAGCACCTGAAGTGAGTTAAGCCAGCCCCCTGCAATCTTGTCAACAATATTTAATCGCTCTGCAAAACTTCCTTCCTGGTCCACAGTGCATGTGACCGAATGATCACATATTGCTCTGCAGTGGACATATTGAGAAAAATTGGGATTTTTTCAGTCTGGAAAGATGAAGACACAGTGTCCTCATCAGTCCTGCCTCCCAGTGAGGGATTTGGATGCTGTACGCATGGTCGTTTTCATAGTGGATGCTAAATAAGCCACAAGACAATCCCACATCGTCTCCCTCAACCAGCCATTAAAATCCCTTAACCACAGGAGGAAAGGTGTCTGGTCATTAACACCACCTCACTGAGGGCTGAACTGGGCCAGGGGTCTTCACCCATCTGGGCTGCCTTTTTCTTGTGCAAGCTGTTGTCTGTTGCAGTGGCTGCCTGACCCCCGAGGCCGCTGAGTCCGCTAATTCTTGCCAGGCTAATGGGTGTCCTGAATCATTTATCCTGTAATTGGGGGTGTTGATCAGTTTTGCCTAGTTTCTGTGCTAACCATGTGACTGCTGCTACTGAAATTCCAAATCCTCATATTTTCCTGCTTGGGGCTGGTGGGAGGACCCCTCAGCTCAGGTAGCCATCTCAATTGCAACCACATTTTCCAGCAAAGGGGTTTCCATTCATCTTCATCATGGGTTCAATCTGTGCACAGGGAGGAGGCAGCCGCCCAGTGGGACTGCTCTACCCTGTCACCTGGAGGCTTTCTCTCATCTGTCCCTCCACCTTCACAGCCATATTGATATTCTACCTACCCTGCTACTTTCTGCAGGGTCTGCAAGGGATCCCCAGCTACTGTCTGGGCCCTGCGGGGGGCGGGGCGGAATTCAGATGCCAGCCAGCTGCAACAAAGGAGGAGGTGAAGGTCACCTACCCCTTCTCTTTCTGAATACGGTAGATCAGTCTGTCCTTGCTGTGGCCTTGATACTGGGATTGCACCTGTACTGGATTTGGCAAAGTGGATCTTCCCTCCTTGGGAGTCTAAAATCCAATCTGATTTGCTGATGTCCTCCAAGTGCCACACTCTATGCTGGGTGTTCAGCCCTGACCTCGAGGACTCACATGCACAAGAAGTGCACACCAGGATTGGGATAATAGGAACTGTCATGGGCAGCATCCTCCACAGTTTGAAGAGCCCCTTCCCCTCCCCAGATCCCATGATCCCACACAGTCCTGTGAGGCTGGCTTTGTAGAAGGCAGACAAGATCTCATCATAGCTACAAAATACAGACTTGGGAATACTTAAGATCCGGATTCAGATCGTAGCTCTGCCATTTATTTATTTATTTCAGTAAGGTTTTGAATAAGCCACTTCACCCTTTCTGAGTCTCAGCTTCCTTTTCAGTAAAATGGGTCTTATAATGCTGACCTTGCTGGAAGGCATTGTGTGTAATCACTCACACTGCACCTGGCACATGAAAATAATGGTCTTGCAGCTCCAGGTGTGACTGTGACTAACAACACAGGTACCTCCAGCAGCGCCTCCTTGCAGAAAGGGACAGGTGGATTCCTGTGATTCTCACGACTGTGTCCAGAGAGGTCTTTTAGAGAGGTCAGAGCTGTACTCAAGGCACTGGCTATGCAGCAGAGCTTTCGCAACACCTGTGAAGTTGGAATAATAACCTTGTCATTCAGTTGCTACAGAAAAGCTTAATGTGATGGAAATAATGACTATTTGCCAGAACTCAGGTTGGGCTACAAGGGATCCTGGTGTATTCATGGAACCTGGTGTATTAGTGTGTTTAAAGCAGAGAACCTGGGCCAGTTCTGAGGTCTGTCTAGAGCTGTCCTAGTGAAGGGCTGGGCTGATTCCATGCCCCAGAGCACCCCCTCCCTCTGGGCATCCTTACTGCTCTTCCAGAGGCTGGAGGAGCCCTTTGCTAAGCTGCCTTTTCAGCCAATGGTTTGTACCTATACTTGGCCACAAGATGTCACTCAAGGAACAGCAAAGCAGGGCCCTGGGAGGAAGTTGGCCAACCCAGAAACCAATCCAGGGAACAGTAGATTCTAGAAAAGCACCTGTGCAAGGCAGGTGGCACCCTGAAATGAGGTTAAATCTGAGGATTTCCAAAAGAACAGCACATAGGTTTGTAGATGCCACCTCAAATAATAAAAAGGATGAGAATGATTACTTCCCCCAATAGGAGGAAACTGCTCTCAGACAAGGGGGTGCAAACTGCAAAGGGACAAGCACACTTGGGTGGGATCAGGGAGTCAGCCCGGCAGGATGAGGTATCCTCCTGGCTGTCCTGAGCCTAGTCGGCTGCAAGTAGACAGGAGAGGCTACAGGGTGTGGCATGTCATCTGCCCCATGCGTTGGTCTCAGCCTTCCTCCTCCGGGTTGTTCGCTCCCACGTGGTCCAGCAGCACCCACGCGTGGCAGCCCACAGGGCGCCTGGATCCCAAAGGGGAGGAGGGCAGGAAGGTCACCCACCCCGCGACCCGCTGGGGTCCGCGGCAGGAGCCGGCCACTCCCCCATGTGCCCCCGAATTCCCAGACCCGGGCCCGGTGGCGGCCGAGGTGCCCATGGACCTCCGGGGTTCTGGGCGCGGTGGAGCCTTCTCGCGGGCCGAGACTTGGTGCTCGGTAGTGCCTCCGCCAGCCACACCAGCACAGCGAGGCCAGGGGCTGTGGGCTTGGTGAACTTCCGAGCCCCGGCCCGGGGAGGTACAGGAGGGAAAGTCCCTCACTTGGCAGGAGCCGAATTAGGAAGGAAGGGAAGAATACTGGCACTGAGGAGTTCCTCCAGCTACCCATCACCCCCATCAGCAAACATTTGGGGCACCTGCCATTTGGAGACACGAGAGCTCATGTTCCAGGGGTATCACTGTCATGTAGAGGGATAGGTTCGGGGGCAAAGGGGGTCATGCCTCAATGAGGAGGGTAGGAAGGGGGTCATCTGGGGAATGTCCTCCAGGAAGGGCCACTTGGGGCAGAGTAGGGGTGGTCATATCAGAGACATGAGCAAAGGCCTAGCTGCACTTTGGTTAGAGGTGACAAGTTTTGAGGGGCTTGGATGGAATTGGAGGGGGTGTACTGTAAAGGTAGGCTGGAACCCAAACAGAAAAGATTTCAGGCAGAAGAGAAATCTGATCAGACTTCATTTCTCAGGGCACCTAGGAGGGGCTCGAGGGAGGCCTGGAAATGGCAGGGCACTGTGTGCAGCAGAGGCAGGTTCAGGAGAGGTTTCCTCAGGAAATTTGGGTGGAGTAAGGGGGCAGCCAAGAAGAGAGGCTAAAACAGGGCAAGCCGGCGCTGAGGAGGGATGAGTAGGGAACTTTCAGATTAAAGTTTCAAAACCAGGACAGGCATTTCATGATTCCTATTCATGGCCACGGATCATAATGGAACTTAAGCTCTCAGCTGGTGTTCCTGGGCCACCAGAGCAGAGCCAGTGCTGGCTGCCTTCAACCAGGGTGTTGTTGGCCTTTGTCTGAAGGGTGTCTTTCCAGGATTTCCCAGCCTGAGCTGTCTATATGCTAGGTTGGAAAGACTCTTGGCACCTAAAATTTCTGTTCATTGGAAAGACTCAAGTTCCCGTGGAGTCAGCTCAGTGGAGAGCATTTCCTATCCAGGAGTCCAAGCACCCCTTATTCCTGGCAGTCTCTGGTAACTTCTTGCCAGTTACGTGCCCTCAGTTAAGTGCCAGCAGCACAGGAGTAATGATTTGATACACGTGACAAAACTAGAGACTGCATGGGACCCATGAGGCCACAGAGCCAAAATCAATAAACACTCTTCCCAGAGGCTGTCACTTGCTTTAGGTCTGGTTCTTGGCAGAGATCAGATGAGACCCACCTTCCAGTTCCTGAGCCTGGCACATGCATGTCCACTTGAAACCCTTGGCTTTTCAGTTAATGAAAAGAAAGTCCTTGTCCAGGGAGGGGCAAGACCTCTTTAGGTTTGTTGGTGTGGTCCTATCTTGCTGTGGAGGTTTGTTGGACATTGCTGGCTGCACTGTGCCAGTCGGATGGCCCTCACCCCCTCCCTCCCACCCTTTACTGCACAATTGCCTCCTCTGGCCTGGTTGACTTGAAGCTCCCACCCATCCAAGCAGCAGAGGTGGCCTCACCTATCACCATCACAGCCACAAGAGAAGGAAAACAGGGTCACCAGAGGTTAAGATGTAAGGTGGGCCAGAGGAAAGAAAATAAATCCAGGAGTGGGAGTGCCCGTACTGACTGGGGAGCTGGCAGCTATGACCTGTTTCCAGTAGGGCAGGCTGGCTGCACTGGGGGGAGGCTAGGGACTGCGCTACTGTTGCTGCTGTTAAACAGGGGACATAGGTTTCAAATGGACACAAGACACAATTGAAACAGACATTTTAAAAGCATACAGTGGAAAATGAGACAAAAAGATGAAACAAATTTGTGTATATCATTGACTACAATCCTCCTGGGATGTGTAGTGACTTGAGGTTAAGAGACAGCATTACATAACTCAGGGATTGTGAATGAAGAAAACATGTGGACTTAAGCATGTGAAGAGACATCTTTAGAGGGTTACTGGACTGGCAGCAGGCAAGAGTCCTCGTCCCTTGTAAGGGTCGACTCCCATTCATATAAATGTCCCTGGTGGGATGTGGAGCCAGGTGTTTGTGTGGATTCTGTAATGAATCCCAAATTTTCCTGAGTATGAGTCAGCTGGAGGCCCCGTACCAGAAATGCAGATTCCTGGGTTCTTCCCCAGAAATTGATATATGGTTATGGGAGCACAGGCATGCAGCTCTATGAATAATAGTCCCAGGTGGCCATACAGGTGGGAAGACAGTGGCCCTTACTTTATGAATGCTGGCTCTCCTGGGATTCTCACTCATCTGAGTGTAAGAGTCACCTGGAGGACTTGTTTAAAGATTCCTGGTGCCACTGCCTATGGATTCCAATATAAGCCAACAAGCACACCAGGAAAGTCTTAACAGGAAGTCTAAGAGACAACGGTAGAGTTCCCTAGTGCGCTGAAAAAAAAAATGGACTAATTCCTGGGTCCTACCCCAAAATATTATAATTCATTTAGTCACGGAGGGTCAGGTCAGCAGCAGTGTCTGTCAACAGCACTGGTTACAAAAGTTTTATCAAAACTACCAATTATGGGGGTAAGGAAAGCAGATGAGAAAATATCTATTTTAAAAAATAATATTGGATACTCTTCGAGAGAGTATAAGATTTCATGCAGTTAGCCAGCAATATGCTGATTTCTGTACAATTAACAGAAATAAAATTACCATGGCTTCATTTTCATTGTCTACAGCAGATCCAGGGACTCAGAATTGAGCTTTTTCCATTTTAGCACAAAATGTGGAAGATATTTTTTGGGTCCCCACAACCAGAAATTTTCCAGCCAATATGGTTTTTTGGTCAATGTTTTCTGAAGTATGAGGACTGCATTTCACTACCCTACGCAAATAGAAAGGACTCTACCGAGGCATAAGCTCTTCATGTAATTATTTAGGCAGGGGTCACATTTATAGCTGCGGCTCTAGTTTGGCTTTCCAGGGTCATCTTCAGGGCAGAGCAGCACCTCAGGCAGGCAGGAGGAGCTGGCTCAGTGTCTTTTGGAGAAAAGTTACAGCGCCACTTATCTAGAGAGAGGGTTGAGTGGACAAACCTAACAAGACATAGGCAGCTCCAAGTTGGGAAGTTGAATTCTACTTTCAACTTCAGACAAGTCCTCCCACCTATTTTAATACTGAATCAAATGAATGAAAACCAACCCCAAAGCCAGCTTTCAAATGCTTCCTTCTAAATGAAGTGCAGTCCACATGGAGAAAGCACCTGTCCACCAGTGAGGAGACTCAGAGGAGCGGGCCTATGTAAGCTGGGGCTCCTGTCTAGTAGTAGCCACCCTCTGCTGAAAGGGTTGTACAGGCTTCTGTACATATTGTACAGCACTTCCATATTCAGAACTAAGGCTGAGGAACAGCTACAAATGTCAGACAGAAGTGTGCAGAAACAGCGGCTGTTCACCATCTCTCAGCACTGCTGGGCCACTTGGATTCCTTCCCGTCCCATGTGGACAAGTATCCTCGGATGTTCAGATGAAAAGGACAGTGTGAATCCATGGAGAACATCAATCATATTCGAAAAGCCAAATAAAGTTTCAGAAATGCTTCTGAATACAAAATAGATGATGGAAACATGAAGGCCAGTGAATGAAACTGCTCTCCCTTTTAATCAGTTTTACAGATTGACGCCATACAGCAGTAATCACATTGGGAGACAGGATGGGCTTCTTGTTCATATACAAGATTGTGCAAGCTCATGGACTGAGGCTTCAAGGTGTTACCAGTTTTGAGACAGGAGGCAGTACAAAGCTTTTTAGTACAGGGGAAGCACAGGAGGAGACGGTAGACAAGACGATTACCTTGGCAGAGGCGAGTTAAGGTGAGAGGCCAGTGCTGCTGGGCCTTCCTCTATCCTGAGCTCTGGTGGTGGCTCGTGCTGCTCCACAGGACTCTGCAGCTCAACCACAGCTCTCCTGCTGCAGCAGATCTACCTTCATGTCTCCAAGTGTTCTCATGAGTAATAGAGCTATTCTTGGTCATCCTGCTTCTTGGTAACCTACATTCTAACATACATTAAGTCATTAAGTAATTACTAATCTGGCAAATCTTTCAAGAATTTTGGCATTCAGAACATCTCAAATACCCCATTACTGTTAATCCACTTACTAAAACTGTTTTTGAGTTTCAAGAAGACGGTTTCTGACCCCTCCCCCCATTATAACAATTACATATAGACTCAACTAAAGGGAGGGAAAACAGATTTTTCTTTAAAGGAACAAATCTGGAAAGGCAGAAGGCCACCCAGGCTACACCGCTGAGGATGCTAACTGCACTACATTTCTATCACGTCTATGCAGTCCACTAACGCTATTCACCAGCCTTTGAACAAGCATGTTCCTGCCTTCCCTCTTCACACCCACTGGCAGCAGAGAAGACATTTTCAAGACTCATACATTTAAAATACCTAGCTGACCTTTACTTGGCCCAAACTGGAATTCTTATAGCAAGCAATAGGAAGATGGTGCCTAGGTTTGGCAACTGTCAGGTACCAGTTCATATGGCAAGAACACAGCTCCATACTGTTTCGGCTGGATTTTTGTTGTCCTGCTTATGCACCTTAGGAACATGTATTTGTAAAGTCCACTTTAAACACAGGCTTCCAGGATATAACAGAAAAAAAAAACCATGCATCATAGCTATTTTCAATCTCCCAGAAAGCCTATCTGTATAAAAGACTTTCCTAAGCAGGTTTTTATAAAGGAAAAAAAAAATGCAATTATTATGGCTGAGGTTTTCCCTAAAGTGAAGAGAAACAACAAAATATTCACTAGGTTTTTTCCTAAAAAAAAAAAAAAAAAAAAAAACTTTATAAGAAAAGACTGTGTTCAATCTGTATTTCTCTTACTTCCAGAAACAAAATATTAATACAAAATGGTTTTTCTTTTAAGAAAATTCCACGAGACTGCAGTGAGCTGAGCTACTATCTCTCCATAGAATGTGCATTAACTCTGTAAGTTCTGTATAATAACTGGTGGCTCCTGAATGTTCCCAATGGTGATTTTGTACCTTTGCACTAATTCTTCATGTAAAACAAGTATTAGAAGGTAGTAAAAAAGCCTTGAAGAACAACTGTTCCTCTTTCCTCCCCAAAATGTAATAGTCATTTTTCTGTCTCACATACTATCATTGCCATACAGAGAATGACTGATTCAGAAATCAACACTTTAAGAAATACTATCATGAACCCAGAGAGGTGATGGTTAATGATGAAGTCCCCCTGCTCCTGAAAGGGACTTTAGGGGGAGCTGTCCCTGAAACGGCTGTCCTATGCTTCTTGGTCAGCTTCTGAATCAATGGTTCTACGTCAATACTGCTTGAGCACTGCAGAACCCCAATTCTTGCCTGCAATGTAGGCCAACACCCCAAATCCACAACCTCTCTTCCACAGAAAAGAACCCTGGTGCAATGTCCACATCTTCATATTTATTTCCACAGTGATAAAACATGGAATATATTTAGCTACCATAGTAGAGGGAAAAAAAATCTTTCATTGATTTATGATTTAAGTCCCATAACAATGAATCCAACTCTTCTAAGTCTTCAATTGACTAACATTTACTCAATCAAATGCTGAAGTAAATGGACCCCCATCTAGGTCTCAGAAGTCATGTCATACAGTTTGTCTTATAATGTACTTATGATGGGTTGTGACTTCTAATACTCAAGCAGGGTTGATAGTGAGCGACAGCCCAAGAAGCACATGGCTTTCTACATGATTTTTTTTCTTTGCAGTGATGGAGATTGGAACAAGGGCCTTATGCATGTTAGGCAAGTGCTATACCACTGAGCCACAACCCCAGCCCCCAAATTCACTTGTTTTTTGTGTGTGGTACTGTGACTTGAACCCTGGGCTTTGAGCATGCCAGGCAAGCATTCTACCACTGAGTGACTTTCCAGCCCTGTACATGGATTTCTTGACCTAACATTCAAAAGGTCATTTTGTAGTACTAATTTAATTTTGATCTTTCCCTAAAAGACAGAAACCACATCCCACACTCCTATGTATAACTTATTATTTGGGTGTTTTAAAATAAATGAGCAAGAAGTGGAGGCATGAAAAAAAATCCAGCTTCTTTTGGCATTAGGAGACACAGAGATCTCAAGAAGAGAGCAGACAGCTTTTGTATCCACCTGCTCATGGCTGGTTGTCACAGTTCCCTTAAAAACAAATGCCTAAAATTGCTGCCAGCAATGAGGGGCTCAATGGGACTGTGTTTGTTATAAAAGAAGATAAACATGTTTAGGAAACATACAAAGCAGAACAAGTTGGTGATGGCCTATGTACAAGATTTGTGCTTGAAGCTTTGGTGTACCTCCTGGGCCAGTTGCTCAGACACCAAAGCCCATTCCTGATTAATTATCAATACACAATTCAAACCAAACTACTGAAACATATTACTTTTTTTCAGAATAGGGAAATAAAGGCACAGAAACCTGTCAAAATAGATTTTTTTTCCATAAGAATAGTATGGTTGGTTAAAATAGTTTATCACTAGTAAAACCTGTATCACTAGAGCAGACAATACAAATTAGTTTTAAAAAAAAATGACATTCACTGAATTCCTGGTATGTGCATTCAATGTGAATAATCATCAAAAATATATTACAATTAAAAGAAGTTTATAAGGAGCTCCGTCTGGGGTTTCTATAGCATACTTAGTATTTTAGATGAGAAGTACCACACTGATATCTTGGCTGTCTACTGTTCCTTTTTATGTCACCTAGAGAGTCTGTCTCTTAGGAGTGCAGGTTCACGTGCTTCCACAGAATGCTGTGCCTACATGACCTCCTCAGGGACTTCCAGACTCCTCATCAGATTCCACATCTAAGAGTTCAATGACCTGTATGACACTTTAATAAATATTTCTGTGTTTTTTGCTTTTAAGCTCAGCTTAAATTTTGTCAAGGAAACCATTTCACAAGAGGGTTTTTCACAACCTACTATCAGCAATATTCCTTGTTTATTAGAATCTGAAGATGTCCATATTACATCAAATATAAATATATATTATATTTACATTTCCTTCTTAGCTTTTCAACTTAGGTGAGTGTATTTATAGATAATGCCACAAATGCACTACTATTATAACCCTCAGTGCAGCTGGTATCTTTCTTCCATTAGATGCATATAAGACAGCATCTTAAAAGAGGTGTACTGTTCTTTTTAAACAATAGGAAAGAATGGGGTATCCACGAATGGACGTCTAGGAATTCCTTAAGAGATTCTGTTCTGTTTTTCAATATTTCAAAATACCTGAAAAAATGTGGTCCCTTTTTGCAGTACTATTCTCTACTTGGGGACAAGAAAATTAAATATGCAACTTAGAAAGGAAAAGAGCCCAAAGAAAAGAGAACCTGCTTGTTAGCTCATTAATCTGTTTTAGTAAAGATCTGTTTTAAAATGTCTGAATGCTGTACAATATTATACAAAAACAATCTTCAGCCTTCAAAGCAGCTGCTGCATTTTCTTAGAGATCTGTTTGCCTGACTAACAGTCTGCTGCCATGGTGGGCCTTTGTCTTGGTCACTTTCGGTCATCAATGGTTTTAATGAATTCTACTGCTGCTGTGAACTGCATCCACCAATAGGACTCTTCTCCAGACAGACAGCTGGCATAGAAGCTGCTGATGTACTGCACAGTGGACAGCAGGCAAGGTGGGTTTGCCTAGAGAAGTGAAAAATGAACAAGTCAATTACTCAGATGCTAAGCTCTGCCCAAGTCATCTTAGCATGTGTTCTTTAAATGTTTTTTTTTTTTTTTGTGTGTGTGTGTGTGTGTGAAAGAAATACCAGTCCTTTTGAAAATAAACTCTACATTGCTTTTTGGAAGTAATCTATAAACAATATACTGGAAAGGCAGTTGGGTTCTAATCCTAGCTGAACTACCCAGAGCCTTCCATCCTGGCAAATCACCTAATCTTGGTAGCCCCTCAGGTGGCTGAACTAATCTCCATAATCTTCTTCAACAGTCCAGGATTCCAGCAAGTTAGATAAGAAAATAAATGCTGTGGGCTAACTGATAATATCTGGTTAGGAAGTCCAGGTAGAATCAGCTGAGAGTAAAAAAAAAATAAATAAAAAAGGTAATGTGCCCCCTATAGCCCAGAGGGGACACAGAACATCTTCTGTTTGTTCACTTTCTTTCACATGGACAGAAAGGACATATGCTATTAAATAGTTTTTAAATAGGACAAGCTGAGCCCCCTTCCTTAAAATCTGTTCAAAATGGCTCTGCAGAAGGACTAGCCAGATCACACTCAGAATAGAGAACAGCAAAGGCCAGGAGAAGTTGCACCTGCCTGTGTGCGGGGTTTCTGACTCTGAGCCAAAAGTTTCAGTTGCAGAAATACCACCAACACTAAAGATTAGGAAGATATATGTCAGACGTACTTTAGATATCAGCGGCTGGGGTGTGCTAATATTCAGTGATGTCACTTGGGGCTGTGTGCACCCAAACTGCATGGTCACACCCAAAATGTTCAAAATAAAATGTTTAAGTGAATTGTAATTTTAGAGTTCAAAGAAAGACAAAGGGATATAGCTCAGTTGGTAGAGTGCTTTCCTCACATGCACAAAGCCCTGGGTTCAATTCCCAGCACCATAAAAAAAAAAAAAAAAAAAAAAAGACAGACAAAAGATGTCAATACTTTTTAAAATAACGAAGTATAATTATAAAATAAGAGGCTCAAAGAAGATAGAAGTGATTGGTAAATCTGGTGGTCTATTTAACAACCATTATAAAGAATTCCATGTGAAAGAAGATTACAAAAGTACAATAAAAAGAACCTGTTTTCATTCACTCAAGGATGACACATTAAGCCCCAATTAAGATCTATAGGCACTGGGCTGGGTTTGTGGCTCAGTGGTAGAGTGGTCGCCTAGCATGTGTGAGGCACTAGGTTAGATCCTCAGTGCCACATAAAAAAATAAATAAGTGAAATAAAGGTATTGTGTCCATCTACAACTAAAAAAAAAAAAAGAACTATAGGAAACTACTTAGATACTGAAAATGTTCATCTAGGAACTGATCCTCTCTTGCTTTGTTTTGAAAACTGTGACTTCTAAACAGAACAAATCTTGACATTATACACTTTCTTTCTGGATAACACAGGACTTGAGATGGAGAAGAGTCCAGGTCTCTAACACTACACCACATTAAGCCCTGTGCCACCCTACTCAGGATGCCACCTAAACTCTTTAACTGATAGTAGATAAGAGACCCACCTTTATCAACACAAACACCAACACAGGAACAAAGTCATCTGCTCCAGGGACAGAGTCCTCATTGGCCAGGCTCAGGAGGTTCATAATTGTAGAGCACATTCTCAGGATGCACTGCACTTTGTCCCGGGGGGTTTTATAAGCACTTATTGTCCTGATTTCTGATTGTGCAGATGGCCACGGTGCTTCCCGAAGATAAACCTAAGTGAGACCACAGATAATAACAGACCCTCAATACAAGGGCAATGATCTGTTGGAGTGACCATGGCAACCTCCAACCCAAGTCGGGGACAGGCTAAGGTGGCTGCTTTCCTCTTTCTTCAGTAAAACTGGACTTTAGGTCCTTCCCCTTCCACCCAAGATTATAGTTATCTTTTAAATGTTTATGTAATATACTTTGTGTTTTAAAATAGAGCAACACAGATATACATTAATAGAAAGGGTATACAATAACAAAGAACCAAGAATTCATAAAATTTCAATGATCCTTTTTTTTTTTTTTAAGAAAGAGAGAATTTTAATATTTATTTTTTAGTTTTCGGCAGACACAACATCTTTGTATGTGGTGCTGAGGACTGAACCTGGGCCACACGCATGCCAGGCGAGCACGCTACCACTTGAGCCACATCCCCAGCCCCAATGATCCTTCTTAAATAGCTAGAAAAGGACTTCTGTACATTTAATAGCATGAACAAGCTATTAAAACAAGATAATTTAAGAATTAATATATACTTTCTTACAATGGTTCTTGAAATGAGATCCAAAAATAAAAAAGAATTAAAAATTTTATGCCAATTAATGTTTCATTTGTGGGGAATTTAATAAAAACAACCAAAACTAGCTCAAATAGCTGAAATTTTCCAGATTTCTTATTTTGTAAGAGATGTATGCCAGGTAAAAATGCTAGTATCAATAACTAAAAGGTAATCTGAGACCATGCCATATTTAATTACTTCTTTTGGAACAAAATTCCTCACCTTCTTTGGAGTCTCACAAGCCCCTTCTTCAAATGGGATGGCTGTGTAGAAACAAGACTGTAAGAACACCAAGACAGCTCGCTGCCCAGGAAGGCAGGGCTTGGGACAGAAGCCAGCAGCTCTGGGGAGGCACTCTCCTCCTCTCCTCTACTGAGGTCCCTTTCCATGCCAGGGAAATTTAACCCTGGGAACATGACAGAGTGAAAAGTATCTAGTGCAAACGGTGCTTTCTATTTTATCACACTCCAGTTCCCTGACATAGTGGTAATATGCACATGGTACACCATGCAAGTTAGTTAACATGTAACCCATGGTACATAAACCTGTATTACCTCTGGGATCTGAAGAGCTCTGTGATTTGCAGTCACTACTTTAGACAACCTCTGGATATGTTCATGAAGAACCCTAAAAACCAAAATGCAAATGTAAATATACATTTCAGAAAATAAGGCATAAAAAAGCCATAGTCAAATTTTTTCAAAACACTCAAAGTATTTTAGACTTATTTATTTATGCAGGTTACAAGTACAGTTGAGACTCTCATGGCCATAAATTTTCTTTTTTATCAGAAAAGGTTCAGATTTAGGATCTGCTTAGAAATGCCAAATGAGCTGTGGGGATGCAGATAGGGTAGGGGAATCCTCCTTTCCTGGACTAGGACAGCATTCCAAGGAACAGAGGAGAGAAGCCCTTAGCTTGAACACACTGCTTAGTAAAGGAGAGGAAAAAGAAGAAAGTGAGAGAAAGTAAGAGGGATCAAGAGCCAGAAACCAAAGATCAGGCTTTCAGATGGAGAAGGGACTCTGCCATTCACCAGCCCCTCACTTTCTATGTGAAAACAGGATTAAAAGGTATAGGATTTGCCTCAGTAGCAGGAGCTAGAATAGCTTCTTGACTTCCAGTGTCTGGAAAGATCCAGACACTGTTTATTGTCTTTAAACCTGCAGAAATGCCATGAAGGAGTGGGTAGGAATACTCTACTTCAAAGTTGCTCTCTGCAGTAAATGTAACTTCAATATCCCATTCTATATTCCATGCCGAACACCAGAAATTGGTGCTCTGGAGAGAGAAAAGGCCCTGGGGTAGGCTAACAACCTCGGAGACGATGAATACATGAGAGAGGCAAGTTGGAACAACTCTAAGTGATTTCACAAGAATGTGAATTCTCTCAAATTTATGTGCAACCTCTTAAAATTTCTGTAGGCCTGGGGGTGTAGCTCAGTAGAGAGTGTTTGCCTAGCATGCATAAGGCCCTGGGTTGCATCCCACAAAAACAAAAACAAAACTTGCATGAACTATTAATAACCCTTCTCTGAGATACTATTGCACAGACCCCTATTAGTTACTGGGCTGGGAAGCATGGAAATAACTGTTACACACTTAGGGCAAAAGTAGGACTGCAGAGCAGTACTTAGGAAAAAAAAAAGGGTAATAACGGATAACACACTTAGGGCAAACGTAGGACTGAAGAGCAGTACTCAGGAAAATTAAGAAGAGTAATAATGAAAATGATAATCCCTCCATAGTCTCAATCCCCAAAATACCCAATGTCACTATTCTACATTTTTTGGGGGGGAGGGTGGGAGTGGGATGGCGGTTGCCTTTTTTTTTTTTTTTTAATTTTTATTTTTTGAGACAGGGTCTTGCTAAATTGCTTAGGGCCTTGCTAAGTTCCTAAGGATGGCTTTGAACTTACCATCCTCCTACCTCGGCCTTCTAAGCCACTGGGATTACTTCTTATTTAATATTTTTGCAGTAGGCATCAAACCCAGGTCCTTTTGCACTCTACCACTTAACTACATCCCAAGCTCTCAGTATTACTTTCTAAAACAATTTTATTCAGACATAACTCACATACCATATAATTGCTGATATTTGTTGATAGTCAAATATATAACTGTTCATTCCTAATAAATATATAATGAGTACATATTAGAAGCCAGGCACTGTGCTTGATGCGATGACATTCATGCTCTCACAGAAGGGACAATCCAGTAGGAGAGAGAGCATTTATCAAATGATTACACTAACTAGTAATCAAGAACAGGAGAGAATCATTACCCTAAGTACATGTATGAAGATACGAATGGTGTGAATATACTTTGTATATAACCAGAGATATGAAAAATTATGTTCTATATGTATAATATGAATTGTAATGCATTCTGCTGTTATATATAACAAAGTAGAATAAAAAATAAAAATAAATAAGATTAAAAAAAAAAAGAACAGGAGAGAATTTTTGGTTGTCACAATTGGTTGGGCATTACTATACCTAGGGTGTTCAGGCAGGAATGCTGCCAAACACTCTACCATCTATAAGACAGCTTAGTCTTCACAAAGAGCTGCCTGATCTCAAATGTCAGTAGTGCTGGGTTGAGAAACCTTGACTTAAATAAATGGCAAATAACAATCATGCAAGTGTTAAAGAGGGGTACTAGGCCTGAGACAGCCCTAAGGGGATTTAAGCTAGTCAGGAAAAGTTTCCCAAGGAAGTGATGCTTGAATTGAAATCTGAATGATAAGTAAGAGTTAATCAGACAGAGAAGGCAGGGAAGAACATTTGAGGGAGGATACAAAGCTGTGCCTTCCAAAAAGGCCACACAAATTCATATACCTGCCAGCCTGATGACCTTCCTGAAAACTGGGTATTTATTATTATTTTTTAAATTATTATTATTATTATTATTTTTGGTGGTGCTAAGGATTGAACATAGGACCTCATGTATACTAGACAAGTATATACAACCACTGAGTTATATCCCAGGCCTTTTTCTAATTTTTTATTTTGAGACAGGGCCTTGCTGGCCTCAAATTTGTCATCTTCCTCATGTATGTCCCCCAAGCATCTGGGATTACAGATAAGCCCCTCCATGCCCTACTTATCATTCTTTTGAATTGCATAACTCTCATGGGTGAAAAATGATAACTGAGACATTTCCTTTACTATCAGATGCTAAACCACAGGTACGGCTTGCCTAAAGTATGGGGCTACCTGATACACACATCCAGCACAGGCACTCAACATAGAAGCACTCACTGGTCACGAAGGATATCCCCATCCTGATTAGGGTAGAAGGCAAGCTTGAAAATGCGATTCATCACACTTCGTTCGATGGCCAGCTGAGCATCCTGCAGCTGCTCTTCACTTGCATTTTGCCATATGACATCCTGGGCCATTGCACCATAAAGAAACTGTAGAAAATCTTCTACCTGAGCAGTTTTATCATCAGCTGCTGTGAGTTTCTGAAAATCTTCAATGCACAAACAATAACTTTTAAAATACATCATATGAATAAACTTAAAAAGGAAATTTGAGAACTTTTCCCCGTTTTCCTCTGTTTCATTTCCCCTCAATCCAACATATTAAATGGAAAATTCTAGAAATAAACAATTCATAAGTTTTGAATTGCAAGCTGTTTCTTGGTAGGCATCTCATTATAGGTTATAGGTATAGCATATAGAGATCAGTATTAGACACAGTTTCAGGCATCCGCTGGGAGGAGGGGGTGTCTTGGAACATATCCCTTGCAGATAAGGGGGGACCAATGTATTAAAATCCGTTTTTTTTTTTTTTTTAAATATTTATTTATTTATCTTTTTTTTTTAGTTATCGGTGGACACCACATCTTTGTTTGTATGTGGTGCTGAGGATCGAACCTGGGCCGCACGCATGCCAGGCGAACGCGCTACCGCTTGAGCCACATCCCCAGCCCCTTAAAATCCGTTTTTAAAATATTTTTTTGTAGTTGTAGATGGACACAATACCTCTATTTTGTTTTTATGTTTCTTGTTTCCTCAACAAGTGTGGTGCTGAGGATCAAACCCACTGCTTTCCACATGCGAGGTGAGCACTCTACCACTGAGCTACAACCCCAGCCCCTAAAATCATTTAATTGCTAGTGATACAGATATTAAAGCCTAAAGGTTTTGGAGTGCTTTATTTTAGGACAATACACAGCCAAGTCATTAAAATCAGGAAAGAGTAAGAAATATCTAAATATTTACGTGCCAATGAATTTGTTTAAAAATATGTTGTTTGTAAAAATGAGAAAAATTGTGTGAATCCAAAGTTTTACCAACTTCCCCAATTTTTAAAATAAACTGATATTCAATCTAGGAGAAAAAGAAATTTAGAGATTTGATATCAAAGTGTAATTATTAAGAATCCACAGGGGCTGGGGATATAGTTCAGTTGGTAGAGTGCTTACCTCGCATGCACAAGGTCCTGGGTTCAAGCCCCAGCACCATCAAAAAAAAAAAAAAAAAAGAATCCACAAACTAACTAGGTATTTAAGGAGCTGGTCTAAAGTATGCAGGTACTTACACAAGCTAGCAAGCAAAACAAAACAAATTTTCCCAATCTTCCTAATAATAAATGATTGAAGACATGCTTCCTCTAACAGTAGTTACCTTGAATGAATTCCCTGATCTTCTTTTCTTTGCTCTCAAGCAGTAACCTCACACAGACAGTGGTAAAATATCGATTGGCTACCTCTTTGTCCCGTAAAACCCTTTGCAAGAGCCTCTCCAGGTGAGCCTGCGTAGTCTGCAGTCCTTGTCGACAGCGAGTGAGGTAAGCGATATATGGGGCTCTTTTCCTAAAAGGAAAAATGCTTTGCAGGACATCAGATATGTACGGTGCTTACTTTTTTTAAAAAAAACTAAGAGTTCTAATTTTTTTCACTTCATAAACTTTGGCTTTACAAATTGGCATGTCAGGCTACAGACAAATGTCCTGGGGAATATTTATGCTGCCAGCTCAAGAAACAGAATCCTGTTTTTCTTAAGCTGGCAGCGTGAATTGTGCATGTCTGTGATGAACAGTATCTTTTGAACTGAATGTTTAGCTCCCTAACTCAGTGAATATTACTAAGGCTCTTCAGATTCTAGGTTTATTTTATACTGGAGCACAGTCTCCCCACTAGTAGCACCTCTTACTTAACAGGAAATGAACAGTTACAGAAAATTGAAAATAAGTTGGGCATGGTGGTATACACTTGTAATCCCAGCTCACTTGGGTGGCTGAGGTAGGAGGATTACAAGTTTGAGGCCAGCCTGAGCAACATAGTGAAATCCTATCTCAAAATGAAAATTAAAAAAATAGCTGGAGATACAGCCCAGAAGTAGAATACTTCTGGGTTCAATCCCCAACCATCACGCCCCCCACATACAAAAAAAGAAAATGGTGATGATTAAAAATAACAACAAAAAACAAGCTATACAAACTAGTTCGTTAAACACTCCCCACCAGCTATTTGCTTATGGTGTTAATGTGGAGCTCGTCCACTAGGACATGAGGCCTCCACACTGCCCATGCATCTCAGTTACACTCTTCCCCATAACCATCAGCTGGCAGCCAAAGAAAAATATACTACTACTTCTGTAGTCCACTAAAGTAGTATTTACTAATGTCCCTTTAAAAGAAAGTAATAAACTAGTTATCCTAGCCTCACAATCTAGACAAACCTCTTTACTGTTTTTGTGCAAAGCTGACATAAACTGCACTTCTCTATTAGGAAGAGCTGCTCATTTATAACTACATTTCTGGAGTGTGTAGCTTAGAAATCTATATCCAGGTAAACATAGACATGCACTTGGTAGTAGGCCTAGACTGGTTTGTGAAACAAGGACTAAAAAGAAAACACTTGCAGCTGAGAATGTCTGTTGAATGGGTTGGGTATGTTACCTGTAGTCCTCAGCAATGGATGCCAGCAGTTTCCTACATGTCCTATTATCAAAACGGCATACACAACGCATTGTTTCTTGAAGTTGAGCCATTAAGTTCTTATCTTGTAAATTAATTGCTTCAGCTATTTGAACTTTTAAGAAGCATACAATTTCATTATCTAAATAAAAAAATAAGAATTACATTACTATAGAGAATTTCCATGGGCTTACATATATACTGTCCCCAGCATTCGGGACATTAATTCTACTGTACCATTTGTCACCAAAACTAAGCAGTAGTGCCACTGCCATTTAGAGAAAAAAAAAATTGATAAACTATCAGTAATCAAAGTGCCCTTAAGTGACATGAAAACAAATGTGTTAAGTTGAACCATGGAATATTAATACAGCTGAAGAGTGAAATACTGGCAATTTCATTGGTTCAAACTGTAAATACAGAAGAAACTAAACTATCCAGAACCAACTTGCCTTCTGGGTCTGTATGGTCTGGTAATCCGTTCCTTGTTGAATGGGTTAACACTGGGAAGGCAACAGAGTCCGCAGAGCAAAGAGCAAGCCTCAGTTTCTTTTTCGCATCTCTGAATAATGGGTATAAAACACATTAATTTCTTTGTCCAGAATGGTCACTTCTTTTTTGGGGTGCTAGGAATCAAACCCAGGGCCTTGTACATACTAAGCATGTGCTCTACTACTGAGCTACCTCCTCACCCAGAAATGATCACATTTTATAAATATTTACTGTATGAGGGCTGGGATTGTGGCTCAGAGGTAGAGCGCTTCCTGAGCATGCAATCCTGGCACCACACAAAAATAAACAAAATAAAGGTATTATGTCCATCTACAGCCAAAAAAAAAATTAATTTACTTTATGAATAAATATGCTACTTCAGGATTCAAATATTTCAAATGTTTATTTTTATGTGGTGCTGAGGATTGAACCCAGCGCCTCACATGTGCTAGGTGAGTGCTCTACCACTGAGCCACAACCCCAGCCCCACAAGTATGTGTGTGTGTGTACGTACACACACACACACATTTATATATATATATTTTTGAGGGGGTGGTGGTGCTGGGGATTTAGCCCAGGGCCTTAGGCACAGGAGGCAAACACTCTACCAACTGAGCTATATGCCCAGCCCCCTAAAAAAATAATTTTAACTTACATCTCACTCTTGCTTGAAAGAACACACTTCTAATTACCTGAGGAACAAGGTTATAAAAGTGCTCTGGGCAAGGACCTCCCCATAGGGTCACCTGAATCAGTCAAACAAACCTTTTCTGACCTTCCGTCACATGCTGAGTTTTACCTCAGGAACTCAGGAGAACCAGACAGCATATGTGCCAGAGAGGTCGCCAGCTCACCCCAGCACTCACACAAGAACACCTTCTATTGCATCTCTTGAAAAATTCTGGTCCTGCCACAATATAAATTTGCCCACTGACAAGAAACCCTTTTTATTGCTCTGTTGCTTGAGAGTTTTTGTATTGGATTCCTCTTAACTTCCAAATGCTGAACCACCTACTTCCACCCAGTAGCTGAGCCCGCCTCAGCTAGGGGCTACCCTCCACAGCAATGCAGCTCTCCCTAACGGGGAAGCATTGAGGCTCTCTTATTTGTTAGTGCCTCTGGTCTTTTCTGGTCCTGTGGGTCACAGACCAGAATGTCTTCAAAATAATCAAATCTGCTATCTAGATAAAGGAGTTTGAACACCTTAGAGAAAGGCCAGAGAGTGTGCCTCCTCTGTAGGATGTCACTTGTCCACCTCATGCTAGCTCTGAGTCTTTCCCTACTGGATTTCTTCCTATAAAATGAGAAATTTAGATATCAAGATGAGGTAACATTCACCTCATTTGCCAAAAATATTATAAAATACATAATGGTAAAGTCACTTGATGAGTTTTAGAAAGTAATTCATGCTGGAAGGTAATTCTATCTGCTATTCCCCCAATTATACTGCAGGAAAAAAATATGGAAAGTTCCAAAAAGATTTGTGTTTCTTTTTTTTTTTGGTACTACAGATTAAATCCAGGGGCACTTAACCACTGAGCCGCATTCTCAGTCCTTTTAATTTTTTAAATTTTGAGACAGATTCTCACTAAGTTGCTTAGGGCCTCACTAAGTTGCTGAGGCTGGCTTTGAACTTGAGATCCTCTTGCCTCAGCCTTCTGAGCTGCTGGGATTACAGGCGTGTGCCACTGAACCCAGTAGCAAATTTTATTTACAAATATTTTTTGCATAAATATAATAATATATTATATTATTTTAATATATAAATATAATAATATAATATATAAATATAATAATATATATATTATTTTAAGGAAGAGTTTCCTTAAAATAACTGGGAGGAGGTAAATATGGAATAATACTGGTTATGTGTTGGTAACTGTTGGATCTGGATAATGGGTACATCATTGTATCTATTTGAAAATTTCTGGAATAAAAATATAAGCCAAGTGCAGTGTCATACATTTGTAATCCCAGCAAATCAGGAGAATAAGGCAGGAGGATCACGGGTGCAAGGCCAGCTTCAGCAACTTAAACTTAGTGAGAACCTGTCTCAAGGCATCCCTGAGTTCAATCCCCAGCACCAAAATTAAAAAAAAAAAAAGTAAAGGAGAGAGAGGTGGGGGTGGGGATGAGGGAGACATGGGACACGGGACTTTGCAAGTCCACAAGAGATAACTAGTGCTTTAAAGCTGAGGCTTCTTGTCTGAGGAAACCGAGGATCGCTATCAAAGAACCCTGAAGTCATTTTTTTTCTCAAGCCCTATTAGAAATAGAGGCCTGCCCACGTAATGAGGATGACGACAAAAAGAGAGGTTTACTGAGATAGTGAGTTGCTCCATCACTGTGTGCAGGGCGATTCCAAACTACCCATGCCCTCTCCTAATGTGAGCCACACACACTCATAGCTTTGCACAGGCAGGAGCACTGCAACTTGTTTTGTTTGCTTATGTGTTTTATGTGGGTATATGAGTCTTTTTTTTTTTTAAATCTCTGAATTATTGCCTTTGATACATGACATCCAGAACTGAAGCAAGTCTTCTCAGTAACTATTTCATTCTTATCTGTTTCATAAATCTATTATTAAAATGACTTAATGAATCATTTGAATTGAATTGACTGCAATATGATTAAAAGCCCAAACCCCAAAGTCCCAAATACTACAAAAGAAATACCTATAAGAAAAAGCTGAATCCTGAGGGTGGGCTGCTTGGCTCGCAGAGTCTGGGAGATCATCAGCTGAGATGTTCTGTAGTGTTTCATCCCGAGGAGAATCATGTGCACTTTCACCATCACCCATGACCTCTGGAGAACAAAACCCATCACCGAGAAAAGAATAGTTATATTAATTTGTAATATTCTGGTATTGGTACTAGTAGGTAATTCAGAGCAATTCAATCTTAAATTAGTAATATCTTAGAGTAAGAGTTCTTCAGAAGATAAAATAGAAAGAAGGAAAAACTCAAAACATTTGACCAAATGGTCAAAGCAACAATAATGTATCATGAGAGCAGATGCTGGGAATGGTTTTAATTCTTTTTTTTATTTAGTTGTAGATGGGAACACTTTTTTTTTTAAATTTTTTATTCTAATTTGTTATATATGACATTACAATTCATATTACATATATAGAGCACAATTTTTTTTCATATCTCTGGTTGTATACAAAGTAACAATTATCTTTATATATATATTTTTTAATGTGGTGCTGAGGATAGAACCCAGTGCCTCATGCAAGCGCTCTACCACTGAGCTACAGCCTCAGCCATGGTTTTAAATTCTTATCACAATCCTAATCCGAAACAGTGAAAGTCTGAATTAATAAAGTTAATATTCCATAATCAAAATCACTGAACCACAAAACTCAAAATCTTCAAAAGTCATTTTACATAATAATTCACTTTAGAGACATGGACTCCTTCCCAGTCAAAAAAAATTGCTGGTTCTACATCCCTTTGTTGCACAATGGCTGAGGTGGACCAAGCGCATGGATCTCCAGACCTTCCCCCCACAGCCCTCTCACCATACCCAACAAAGAGCAAGAGGACTACCACAGAAAAGCCAGATCTGTGGGTCCCTCTACTTGTTCTGTTTTTAATTAGTCAATCAAGAATACAGATAAACAGGTGCTGGAGTTGTGGCTCAATGCTAGAGCACTTGCCTAGCATGTGTGAGGTACTGGGTTCAATTCTCAGCACTTTATATAAATAAATGAATAAAATAAAGGTCCATCCACATCTAAAAAAAATTTTTAAAAAATAGAATATAGGGGCTGGGGTTGTGGCTCAGCGGTAGAGAGCTCACCTAGTGCGTGCGGGGCCCTGTGTTCGATCCTCAGCACCACATAAAAATAAATAAATAAAAACAAAGGTATTGTGTCCAACTACAACTAAAAAGAAAAATAAATATTAAAAGAAAAGTTAAAAAAATAGAACATAAACATACATAAAACAACATAAAATCAAAGGGAATAAAAAAATTCCTGAATATAAGGAAGATTCTGTGTTTTTATAGGAAAACATTCTTATTATTCAGAGAAAATTTCAAATGCTTCAGGAAAAAATGGAAAAACATATAGAAAAAATGTTAATAATTGTAATGTTTACATAGAAGGTATATGAACGTTCAGAATAGAAAAGTGGACATTCTCTTTTCCCATGACTCCCTCTCAGGCCCCTACAGTCTTTCTCAGAGCTAATTCATATTCCCAGTTTCCTGGAGATTCTTCTAGAAGATACTCCCAGCACACATAAGCATAAATGGGTGCAGACACTACTTAAGCTTTTATACACTTTTGTTTCCCTTTAATTTGAGGACTGTGTCATATTTTTCAGACAAATTATTCAATATTCTACTGTGAGAAAAACATAATCATTTAAAAAATAAGAACCAAGCAACAATGGATAACCTAAGAGAGTGCTGCCTCAGCTACCTGAAGAGAGATAACTGTATGAAATTACAGTTCTATAGGCAGTTGCAAAATAACCTCTTCCCTCCCGCTAAAGCATGCATCAGGTCACTCTGGGCAGTGACTCCAGGATTCATGGGATGATAACTCAGGCATCTGAACATCTGACGTGCCCAGGCTTAGTGGGAGAGTACAGAGAGGGACATCAATTTAATCTGATTGGGTTATCAAGTTTGTAATTTTAAAATAGTATATTGATTCTCTAGCTATTTTTTTAAAGGGTACTTAAAAGATTTATCTTTATTACTATGGTAAAAATGACTGTTCAAATCTTTATCATGATTATCACCTGCATTTTCATAGTTTGCCATTGCTCCTTCACTGGGGCTGGTCCGTTTAATGGCATTCCGGTATTTGTCCAGAATATCCTCAGCAACCTGAGCTTGTGCAGTGAGCCTAGGGATGGGATCATCTGCAGGGGAAAGGAAGGTGAGAGAATTAGTTCCTTGGGTTTGTACTAGCGATGATGTTAGTAATGACACCAGTAGCACATCCCAAAGGCAGATTAGGAGGTCAGACTTAAAAAGAGCACATATCTCAATGTTAAGAGGCACCATGCAGCTGCCTGCTCATCCCATTTCTAGGTCTAAGAGCCTTGTCAAAGCAGAAAATTGGGAGGAGTCACTCCACCTTCTCATCATCACCAGAATTCTGCATGACAGTGACAAACTTCAGTGCAGACTGAATGGATAACAGGTTTCTAAAGGGCTTACACTGAAATCACTGTTAATAGCAATTCATGCTAACAAAACTTCCAAAGATGCACTTTTATATGCAGACTTCATTTAATCAAATATCTCTATGATGAACAAAAAAGAACTATTTAAACTTAAACTCTTTTTAATGATGAGATGTGCCTTTCTCTATTCTTTCTTAATGAATTAATTCCTTTCTACACCACATCTGAAAGTTATAGATATTCATATACTATCTCACTAGATCTCACCACGATAGTGCAATTGCTGGCACACAGCACTTTTGTGCATACCATGGTCAGCAACACTCAGAGAATCTAGACATCCTGAGAGAGTGCTGGAATGGTACCTGAATGCTCTGAGAAAAACTTAACATACCCACAAAACCACAGCTTTGTTTACCTATAGAACTGTTAAGCTGACAAAAAAAAAAAAAAAAAAATCAGCACATCAAAAGTGTTATCTTGGAGTCTTAGAAGTTATTCATTAATTGACTGGGCTGTCAAAGCAAAGAACTGCTATGATCTACAGGACAAAATAAAGTTTTATGGTAAAGTACAAACACCTGGGATAGAGCTAGGCCAATAGATAACCAACCACACCTACATTTAGTTAGAATCCCATTTTATCTATTTTTGGTTTTGGGGATTGAACCCAGGGTTGCTTAACCATTGAGCCACATCCCCAGCCTATTTTATTTTTTATGTTGAGACAAAGTCTTGCTAAGTTGCTTAGGACCTAAGTTGTGCCACTGCAACTGGCAGAATCCGTCTTTTACTAAGAAATTCTAAAATCATATCAAAATCATTAGATTTTATACATATGCATATTAATAGTGGCTAAAAGGCTGAGGGTGCAGCTCAGTGGAAGAATGCTTGCTCAGCATGTGCAAAGCCCTAAGTTCAATTCCCAGCGAGAGAGAGAGAGAGAGAGAGAGAGAGAGAGAGAAGTAGCTAATATTAGCAGCAGCTAACATTTACTGAGTGTTTACCATGTGCTAGAAACTGCACTAAGCACCTTTGGTGGGCTATCTCAATTAATCATCAAACAATCTTATAAAGAGGCACTATTATCACCCCACTTTACAGCAGAGCAAATCAAGGCACAGAAGTGAAGCAGCATGTTCGTAGCTTCTTCTTTTGTTTCTATGAAACAATAATTTGGTGTTCATGTCTCTGTAGAATTATATTCAACTATATAGAAAAAGAATTTCCAAAGTAATTTAATCATATTTAATTTCATGATGAGATCCCTAATAAAATTTTATCTTTTTAAAAATGTCAATTGATAGAACCTTTACTATTACAGAATCTTGTTTTGGAGGGGGAATACTTTTTGCTGATAGCTTTTGAGTGCTAATAAAGGCTCTGAAAAAGGGGCAACGTAATTTGGCTACACACAGTAAGAACCATAACCATGTTGTTATAACCTATGTTTCTATTAACACCATTCTTAAAATTTTTAACCCAGGAAAATAATTAAAACAAAAATGCTATGTATACAAAGCAGTAAGGACGATTTTCATGGCTAAAAACTGGAAAATATTTAAATATCCAATAGAGAATGTTTTACTATAGTAAAATCAGATTATTTTATTGTCAATAAAAATGATTCAAAAGCCAACTAGATCTGGTAGAAATTGAGAGTTCATAAAATGTCATGTGGTGAAAGAATACAAAGTTTCAAATATAATCTAATTCAATCATGAAAAAGCCACTATGTACAAACACAGAAAAAACATTGGAAGAGAATATGAGAAAAATAGTAGTTAGGGCAGCAGGATTACTGCCAGATTTGTTGAGAAATGTCCTTTTGTAAGATTTCTAATTAATTTAATAACTTTCAATGGGTCATTAATTAAGACTGGGTAAAAATTTGGGGGGGGGGGGTTACTGGGGACTGAACTCAGGGGCACTTGGCCGCTGAGCCACATCCCCAGCCCTATTTTGTATTTTATTTAGAGACAGGGTCTCACTGAGTTGCTTAGTGCCTCATCATTGCTGAGGCTGGCTTTGAACTTGTGATTCAGCCTGTCTTAACTCCTGTCTCAGCCTCCCGAGCCACTGGGAATAGAGGTGTGTGCCACTGCGCCTGGCAGGACTAGGTAGAAATTTTTACACCCACAGGGAAGCTTAACTACTTGAGTCGAACCTAAAGAAAATGAATCACTATATTTAAAAAAAAAAACAAAAAACAACAAAAAAAAACCACTTATTCTACCTACTTAGCTTCTAGTGTCAATACCAAGAATTAAAAACATATGCCAAAAGGCCCAATAATTTATAATTTCACCAGTTATTAATTATTTTTGCACCCAGGGCCTTGCACATGCTAGGCAAGTGCTCCACCACTGAGCTACACCAAAGTTATTAATTTTAAAAATTAAATATTAAAGTAATTTTACCCAAAATAGTTCAGTTTGTATGTACTGGTGTTCTTCTAACACTAAGAACTAGGAAATGGAAAATATACATAAATACCTTGCCAAAAAGACAATCTCTTTCTCTTTCCAACCAGACTGACAAGTCCCTATGAACCAGGGTCCTATGCGATTTGACTGAATACCCACAACATGTAACACAGTGCCTGGCATGAGTCAGATGATCAACAAGTATTTGCTGATTAAATAAGACAAGCTGGGCTGCTCTCAACAGGGAACTGTGGCCTGAACACCCTTTCTTACAGGGAAGTCACCATACCCAATAAAGAAGGTATGCTTTATTTGCTATGCCAGGACATGGAGATATAGCTAAATATACAAAACTAGGTACTAGAACTATAAGCATTAAAATGGGATGCTACCTGTACCATACTGATCTCTTTGAGGAGGCTGTTCTTTTGAGCTTTATCCCATTTTTTAATTATAAATCTTCATTTTATACTGGGCACCAAAGCAAACATGTGATCCCAGCTATGTGGAAGGCTGAGGCAGGAGGAAAACAAGTTCAGCAACTTAACGAGACCTTATTTCAAAATAAAAAAGTAGAAAGGGCTGGAGATGTAGCTCAATGGTAGAGCACCCCTGGGTTCAATCCCCAGCACCACAAAAAATAAATAAAAATTAAAAAAAAAATCTTCATTTAAACTATAGTAGGACAGTAGGATAACTTATTTTAAAATCAAAATTAGGGGAAAAAAAGAGGTGAGAAATGAACTACCTTCTAGGTGCTCTATAGCATTTAGGAAACAATACCTAGTTATCAAATTCAAGGTTGGGTCATTAATACTACCTCTCAAACTCTTTTCTTTTAGGGTACTTATTTATAATGGGCCAACAAAAAGGTGCAGGAATACAAATGCTGGATACAGTAAAAACCCAATCCCTAGTTGTATTTTCCTTGAGTCAGATAGCAATGTTAGAATGGCTCAAGCTGTAAAAAATTAGTAAAGTTTTAAATCTTTTATTATAATAGTTGACATTTATGATACTGTTTGAACACTTTATCATGGGGGAAAAAAAAAGGAAATGATTAGGTAAAAGAGAATTTCACTGTGCTCCTGAATAGACAAGAACAAACTGTAGATGGAAATAAATTTAGAATTCTATGATCATTGTTAGAGAAAATTACTCAATCAATGATCTAAAGGTCTGGCATGCACAGTACAATTGTCACCACTCTCCCATAGGCACTATGCCATCAACCCACTAGACGGCGAGCTGTGGAGGGTGCCCAGAGGCTCAGGATCAGGGCCCTCGTCATAAACGTAAGTTATGACAATGAGGATGAGGATGGTGGTAGCGGTCTGCAGGAAGAGCACACTGAGATTCACTGTGGCCACCAACTGGAAACCACAGGGCTATGAAGAACACACTCCCCACCGTGCACACACAGACACACTCTTCTAAAAAGGCAACACTATGGCACCCAAGAAAAAGTGTTATGAAATATGTGCTCTGGGAATGAAGGAGCCAGGAAGTCCATGGGTCTACAAACCTGTGAGTGTTGAGAATCTGTCAGGCCCCAGATCATCTTTGTCTTTTTCTTGTTTTTCTTTCTTTCTAAATGGTATAGGAGCTGGAAATTAAATAAAGTCAGTAGTGTGACATATAACATACTGCACTACTTGGAAGTTAACTGGTGTGCCAACATTTCTAAGTGAAAGGAGGAGGAAAAGTTTAAAAGCTAAAAAATTCCCAAGCGTCGACTGATAATCATTCTTAAAAAATAGCCCTGAAGGTTCTTAAAGAAGCTTTCAGAATCTGCCTAGAGTCATCCACCATAAGAAGAATAATTTAGGCGGGATCATGGGGACTAGATCAAAACCACTGCCTCTTAACCTCTCCGCAAATCAGCACAGTCAAAAACTCTTGCTTCATTCTTTCTTCCCCACCAAGTGGGCTTGAGTATGGCATGGAAGCAGCTCTCCTCAGTGCCTAGGTGCCACAGCACTGGGAGAGGCCTATGGAAGAGGTTCCTAGCTGCTGCTGATCTCTCCTTTCAAGAAGAGAGGTTTTTTTGCCAACTCAAATGATGCCAGGATATTCACACAAAAAAAGAAAACAATATTATACAACTACCTTCCAAAATAAACACTGCATAATACTTAGGGTATAAACATTTTCAATGAACACAGACATAAAAAGCTTAAATTTGTTCCAGGACTACAAAAGATGAATTTTCAATATTAAATTACCAATGGCATCCATTTTCCTGCAATAAATGATAGCAATACATTTGTCAACAGTCCAACATGTTTAACTTCAACAACATATGACCAGCATGACTTCCATTTATGAAACCACTACCATTTTCCTGCAAAGAATATTTCTAATCTCTGCCTTAGCATTCTTCTGAGTGAACCCATTTCCTACACTCGCAAAACAGCTAGAAACTTAGGCCCATGAAGCCTCACAGAGGAGTTGAGATATTGGCTCTCCAAGAGAGATTTTGGGGTTTTGTTTCTTCTTGCTAATACAGTATTCTAAAATTTTATAATATTACCTTTAGGCATGGCTGAAACAAAACGTTTTCTCCACCAAGGTCTGTTCCTGTCTGACTTCTCGTCATCGCTATCTTTGCGTTCTTCAATCTGCAGAAAAAGTTTAATGCTTTATTTGGTGTTGATACCTATGGATAAGTTACTATAAAAAAGATTTCAGAAAGTCTATGAAATACAAACACCAGGCCTATGTGCCTTAAAGCAAAACTGTTCGTATTGCCATGTAGGTAAATTCTGGAACATGGAAGTTACCTCTCAAGCACTAGACTGTGATCTGCTTGAGGGTTTATCTCATTACTGTTAGTTAACTAGAAGTTTAAGGAAGAGCCTGATATAGAGTAGGAACTCCAAAAATACTTATGGAGGGCTGGGAATGTGGCTCAGTGGTAGAATATATACTTTGTATGTGTGAGACTCTGGATTCAATCCCTGACAACACACACACAACACACACACACAATAAACAACAACAACAAAAAACTGATGGATAAGTAAACACAGCTTAAATAAACTCTAGAGGGGTAGTAGAGATGGTGGAAGTAATAGTATTAATAATAAAACCAGGTGTGAACTGTGTGCAAAAAAATAGATATTATCTCATTTAATCCTCACAGTAGTCTTAGAGACAGGCTGTATTATTAGGGCTTTTTATAGATGAGAAATACATAGCTAATTGAGATTATCTCCCTATCTTCCCCAAGTTACACAGTCTGCATGAGGACAGCTAAGACTCAAACTTAGAACTAACGGACTTCAAAAAAATCCAGATTTGAGCTGGACATGGTAGTGCATGCCTGTAATCCCAGCAACTCAGGAGGCTGAGGCAGAGGCAGGAGGATCTCAAGTTCAAGTCCAGTCTTAACAACTTAATGAGACCCTGTCTCAAATTTTATTTATTTATTTATGTATTTTTGGTGCTGGGTATTGAACCCAGGGATGCTCTGCCACTGAGCTACAACCCTAGCTCTTTTCATTTTTTTTGAGACAATGGTCTCACTAAATTTCTTAGGACCTGAATTGCTGAGGCTGGCCTTGAACTTGTGATCCTTCTGCCTCAGCATTCCCAGTCCTGGGATTATAGGTGTGCACCACTGAGCCTGGCTCAAAATTTAAAAGAAAGACTGGGGATATAGTTAATGGTAAAGCACCCCTTAATTCAATCCCTGGTATGCTCCCCACCCATCAAAAAAGTCTTGGTTCTGATCACCATTATACAGAGTTATATTTAATTTTGTCATGTCAAAGAGAAAGGACTATAATTCCTTCACTAGCCTATGGTGTGACCTCACACAAATCTCTTAAATTTCTTTTCCTCACCTATAAAACTGGGGTTGAAAATACCTTCTCCAAGGGCATCTATTTGAATAGAGAATCAGACCCTAAGCAGAGAGATAGGGGCCTCTGTGCCAGGGAGAAGTTAGCAATAGTGATGGGAAATTAAATACATATAAGGCAGACTGATCAAATAAGTACATGAATAAAGAATAAGAATAGCAGGGTTCTGGATTGGGGCTGGGATTGTAGCTCAGTGGCAGAGCATCTGCCTAGCACATGTGAGGCACTGGATTCAATCCTTAGCAACACATAAAATAAACAAATAAAATAAAGGCATTCTGTCCATCTACAACAACAACGAAAAATTTAAAAAAAAAAGAATAGCAGGGTTCTCACTATTGAAGAATGGAGTTATAAGCATGGAAGGAAAAAGATAAATGAATACACAGGTAAATGTGTAGATAGACAGACATACACACACACACACACACACACACACACACACTCTCTCTCACTCTCTCTCTCTCTCTCCCCCCGCCCCTTTACCTAGCTTTGTCCAATGAGAGGTCCAGGGAACAGCAACATCTCTATAGAAATGGATGCTGATTGATCTCAATTTCTAAAAACTATTTTTCACTAAAAAGAACCAGGGCTCCTTGGAGAAATTACTGATTTCAGGACTAGAGCCGTCAAAGTACAATATAAGCTTGTAACATCTCATGCCAGGAAGCAAAAACAGAAACAAACTTAAAAAATGATGTAGACAAGTCAAAAGAACCCTGGAGTAGGCATGGTGGCGCACACCTATAAGTCCAGCAGCTCAGGAGGTTGAGACAGGAGGATCCCGGGTTCAAAGCCAGTCTCAGTAATTAAGCCAGGCACTAAGCAACTCAGTGAGACCCTGTCTCTAAATGAAATACAAAATAGGGCTGGGGATATGACTCAGTGGTCAAGTGCCCCTAAGTTTAATCCCCGGTACCCCCCTCCCCAAGAAAAAAAGAAAAGAAAAAGAACCCTGAAACCAGCTTGAAAGGTTTCTAACTAGCCAAATAGGGACAACTGGGCTTCAAAAATAAACAACACTAATAAACCCACTGACCACAAGAAAGAACCAGAAGACCATAAATATAATCGTTAAGTATACAAATTTAAAATTTTTATAAATAGGATAGTTACATTTTTTCAAAGTGCCTCCCCCAAAATACTCATTCATTACAAAGGAAACAGAGCAACTCTCCAAGAGGTAAACCTTGGCAGATACCACCTTCAACAAATGATCCAAACGAACAAATTAAAACTGTGTACTCCTTAATTGGATGCAATGAAAAGAATGCAGTGACACCTTAGTGATAAGATTGCTAAAATAAATAAATAAATGAACTAAATTTAATTATGAGAAAACATCAAATTCAAACTAAGGGACATTTTAGAAAAGAATTGGCCTGTAAGTTTCAAGAGGATCAAGGTCATAAAAGTCAAGGAAAAACTGAAGAACTATTGTAGATTCAAAGAAACTAAAAAGGCATGACAACTAAAAGCAATGTGTCATTCTGAATCAGGTCCTTTTACAACAAATAACTGGAGACACACAAAGAGGGGTGTGAGAATTAAATGGTAGTCATGTATCAGCATTCATCTCCTAATGTTTATGGTTGTTTTATGATGTGTAGAAGAATGTACTTATTTGTAGCAAACTTATTCTAAAGTTTTCAGAGGTGAGGGAGAATCAGGTTAGCTTCGAACTTATGCTCAAAAGGGGAAGAAGTGTTCTTTTGTTGTACATCCAATGTTTGTGTAACTTTACAATTATTTCAAAATTTAAAAATCATACTAATAGGTGTGGTGGTGCGCATCTGTAATCCCAGAAGCTCAGGAGGCTGAGGCAGGAGGATCACAAGTTAAGGCCAGTCTCAGCAACTTAGCCAGACCCTTTTTAAAAAGAAAAAAAGGGGGTGGGGGGATGGGGGTTCTGAGATTGTGGCTCAGTGGTAGAGCACTTGCCTAGCATGTGCAAGGCACTGGGTTCGATCCTCGGCACCACATAAAAATATATAAATAAATAAAAGTTATTATGTCTATCGACTGATAGCTAAAAAAATATTTAAGGGACTGGGATTGTGGCTCAGTGGTAGAGTGCTCGCCTACCATGCATGAAGCACTGGGTTTGATCCTCAGCACCACATAAATGTAAATAAAGATATTGTGTCCACCTAAAACTAAAAAACAAATATTAAAAAAAAATTAAAGGGCTGGGGATGTGGCTCAAGCGGTAACGCGCTCGCCTGGCATGCGTGCGGCCCGGGTTTGATCCTCAGCACCACATACAAATAAAGATGTTGTGTCCGCCAAAAACTAAAAAATAAATAGTAAAAAAATTCTCTCTCTCTAAAAAAAAAAAAATTAAAAAAAGAAAAAGGGATGGGGATGTGGCTTAGTGATAAAGCGCCTCTAGGTTCAATCCCTAGTAACAAGAAAAAAAAAAATCATACCTCATTTAGCCATCTCAGAGGGATACTGTGAGTTTTAAATGAAATTAGATACAAAAACTGCCTGGAGAAAAGTGAAGTATTATAAAAATACAAGATAGTATTATTATAAAACCAAAGCTATACAAATTTCCTATGGGTTGTGGCAATGGTCATACTAGTCTAACAGCTCATCTTTAGTGAGTATTACAGTCTATCCTTAATTTGGGAGTTACATATTCATGTTCATTTCAGAAATCTAGAGAAACTGGCAGGCAGAACTCTGAGCCGAGCACAATCAGCAAACTCTACATGGCTGTGTTCCCATACCTCTCCTCTTGAAGAGTCCTTACTCGGGGATGACGATGATGAGTGAGGTGCAGCCACCAAAGAAGTAGCACCAATGGCTGCAGCTGGAGGGAGTTCTCGCTCTTCATTCCCTGGACGACGGTTCCAGCTGGGGTCACTCATGGGTCTCCGGACAGAAGATACTATATCAGAGCTCCTGCTGCGAACTAGTCTCTCAGGGTAAGAATGCCTTTGCTTAAAAGCCTCCATTTCAGCTGGAGTTAACATGTGGGAACCAAAGTTGGGCAACCTGGCCTCATTTCCTCCCACTGCTCCTTCCAGGATCGGGGGGTCTGGGGGTGGATGTGATGGCCTGGCATAGTGAACCTTTGGCCTTACTACAGCAGAAGCCCCTGCAACACAGCAAAAAAGCTTTGCAGTCAAGACACAACCAATTCAATAAAGGCATTACCAAAAGAGTCTGGTTTCTTTCTTCTATGACAAGAGTCCAGAAGTTCCTTTCATTAGTTTACCTTCATGTGAAGACAGAGGATCAAACATGGCGAGCAGAGACTCTGCCTGAGAAGGAGGAGAGGTCAGCTGGTGGGCGCCTGGAACAAGAGGGCAAACTGTGAGACCACACTAGAAATCAGAGGACTTCAATACACGAGTGAGTGGTCTAGTGTTCTTTATAGTTTTCTTTTTTTTTTTAAACAAATTTTGTTTTTATATGACAATGGAATGCATTACAATTCCTATTACACATATAGAGCACAATTTTTCATATCTCTGGTTGTATACAAAGTATATTCACATCAATTTGTGTCTTCATTCATGTACTTTGGATAATAATGTTTATCCATTCCACCATCATTTCTAACCCCATGCCCCCTCCCTTCCCCTCTCATCCCTCTGCCCTATCTAGAGTTCATCTATGCCTCCCATGCTACCTCTCCTTACCCTACTATGAATCATTCAGCATTTGGCTATTTTTTTAAAAATTTTTTTATTTTATTTATTTTTTATGTGGTACTGAGGATCGAACCCAGCGCCTTGCACATGCAAGGGGCTGGGTTCGATCCTCGTACCTCATAAAAATAAATAAATAAAGGTATTATGTCCAACTGCAACTAAAAAAATTTTTTTTAAAAATTGAGGGTCACACCAGAAAAAAATGAAATTCTGATTATTTCAAATTCATTTCATTTTCATCTTCACACATAGATATTCATTACTTTAAGGTTTCTAGAATACATGTGCCTATTAATTCTAATGACCCAATGCTACTATGGTTAATACAGACAGCACAGGCCCAGAGACCTAAATTATTACACTGAGACTTACCTTCCCCCCTAGAAAAATAGGGAAATATTATCTATAGAAGATATATAAAAAAAGAATGGTAAAATTTGAAATCCTAATATTGCTCTCTGCAAATGATTTATTGATTTTATTAATGCATCTAAATATACCCATTAAATGGTAACATCAACTACCTTTCAAAATAAAAAATAACTATTTTCCAAAGTAATGAGAAGAATGGCACTGTTTAACATTTTTGAAAATTTCTTTAATGCATGGTTTAACAGAACCCAGTTGAATTCTCATATCTGCTTTGTTTGCTTTCTTTTAGGTGTAGCACTAGGGATTGAACTCTGGAACAGTCTACATCTGGGCTAGAGCTCCAGTGCCCCCAATCACCCCCGCTCTTTTTCTTTTTGAGACGGGGTATTACCAAGTTGTCCAGGCTGATCTTGAACTTGCAATCCTCCTGCCTCAGCCTCCCAAGTTACTGGGATTAAAGGTACACAACACCAGCATTTGAATCTCTGCTTTCAATGTGTTCGGTATGTGTTTTTGGTTGTAGTATATAAGAAAAAAACTCTGACTTCACACAGATATGTAGTTGGAAAAGGGATGATTTTTTTTTTTTTAATTGCAATTCTGGGGGGATCAAATCAGGGCCTTCCTGGCACATGTTAGGTAAATGCTCAACCACTGAACTACGATCCCCTGCATAAGATGATATATTAAATTGTGGATATTCTTTGATACTCTACCAAATCTTGAAAAGGACTAGTTTTTTAAAAACCAGCTACAAGGTGGAAACTGAAATCAAATCAGTAAACTTTTATTCTCTATTACATTAAAGTTAACCGGTTTGTCTTATACTTTGAATGGATCTTGTAACTATGCATAATTTTACAAGCTCGTGAGTTGATCCTTTAGAAAATACTTTTTTAATAAGTTACATAGATCTTCCAAATGCTGACATATTTCACCATGTAATATAAAAAGACATTGGTATAACCTCCAATCTCACCAAAAAGAATTTAAATAACAATGCTGTCAAACTCATGAAAGTGTATATAGGTTTCCAAAATTCTTAATTTTTATCTGTTTGAATTTTACCATTGGTACAAACTATACTAGTAATTTTCCTTGAAGTTAACAGGCTCATTTTGTTAATTTTCCAAAAAATGTTTGCTGAGTATATATTCATAAAACCACAGTTTGTCAGTTACTCAAGTAAAAATGTTTTTTCAAGAAAAATAAAACAACTGGCTGTTAAACTAACAGCTCAATCATATAATTGCTCTTCCTTAAGACATCATATTTCAGAATGCAGCATTATAGGTATTTCTATTTCTTCACACAGAATATTAAAAAGATGTGTATTCACGGGTTGAAATGTAATGAAATAATATTTACTGCCAGGTGAGGGGGTGCATGCCTGTAATCCCAGCAACTCAGAAGGTTGAGGCAGGAGGATCACAAATTTGAGACAAACTTCAGCAATTTAGCAAGACACTGTTTCACAATAAAAAGAGCTAGAGATATAGCTAAGTGCTAAAGCATTTGCCTAGCATGTGTGAGGCCCTGGGTTCAATCCCCAGTACCACAGGGGAAAAGAGAGAGAGAGAGAAAAAGAACAAGCACAACAACAGTATATATAATTTGCTTCATTCAAAGACATCCATGATCAAAACTTCCCTTACTTGTAACTGTCAGTGAAGAATTCATGGTGCTGATATGGTTTGGTGCCCTTATTTCTTGCTAAGGCCCCAGCAAATTTTATCCACCTTTGCTTGTGTGCCACCAGTGCAAATAGCAACACCATGAAAAAGGACAATAAATTTTTTTAATTTTTTTTTTTTTTAGTTGTAGATGGACATAATACCTTTAGTTTTTATTTTTACATGCTTCAGGGATCGAACCCAGTGCCTCGTGAATGCTAGGCAAGTGCCGTACCACTGAGCCACAACTCCAGCCCCAGGACAATAAACTTTAATAAATAGTTTTGACCTCATATTCCCCTATTCTAAAAAGAGTCTTAAAGACCGTCAGTTGTCCACTTTGAGACTGCCGCTTTAGAACTATGGTTCTCAACTGGTGGCTATTTTTTTCCCCAAAGGGATCATTTAGCAATGACTGGAGATAATTTTGGTTGTCATGACTCTGGAGGGTGGCAGGCATGAACTACTGGAAGAGGTCAGGGATGCTTCAAATAATCCTATAACATGCAGGACAGGCTATCACAACAAAGAATTATCTGGCCCAAAATGTCAACAGTGTTGAGGTTTAAAAAGACCTGGGTTAGAAGTACTAGAGGTACAGTTCAGTGACAATGTGCTTGCCTGGACTGTGCAAAGCCCTGAGTTCAATCCCCAGCACCAAGAAAACAAAGCAAAAAACAATTCCAATTTAGAACAAGTGTAAAGAAAGAAAAGCTACTTCAAAACCCACAGTCCCACATATAATACCACTGTTAGCATTCTGGTACTTCTTCCCAGTTCTTTTTCTATGCATATAGGTTTTCTTACCCCTACCCTGGAAAGGCTCAAATATGCAGAGTTTTTAATGCTTTATTACTTTAATTATAAAATTCTATAAAATATTTTCCCTGTAATATTATATTCAAGGTATTTCTCTAAGTTATTTCATATTCTTTAAGAGCATCTTAAAAAATCTGCATAAATTTTAATTAGTGGTTACTTAAAAATTCACTTAGTCATTCTGTTTTTCAATTATTGGTTACCATTTTCTACCAATATAAATGTTATAAAGGCCATCTTTGTGCATAAGAATTCTCCTTCTCCACATATGGAATTATTTTCTCATGACAGATTTCTAGAAGTAGACTAACCAGACAAAATTTAGAATACAAACACTGCAAGTCTTAAGTACATATTGACAAATTATGCCCTAAAGTGCTATACCAATTGGTATTATGACCAGCAATGTGGAAGAATGCCAGTTTCGACTACACATGAGATCGAAAAAAAATTTTTAAAAAGTCATTCTCATTTCCCCTTCTTACCATGAGTTATTTCATCCATGTCTGGACTAGTGACAGAATCTTTACCCCCAAAATCAGAGCTACACTCAGATCTTAGGTCTTCAATCTTATTAGGAATATCCTCAGAGGTTGCACTTATACCTTTAAGAAAAAAATAGTAAAAAATAAACATCACGAAGGACAAAATAGCCACACAAAAAATATTTATAAAGTTTAAATAAATGTAAACATTCTCAATTTATGTATGTCCCAGGTGTATACATGTGAGTTATTTAGAATTTATCCTTTATTATACCATTGCTCAAATATACTTATCTTGCTTTATACAGCATAATTAGAATTATCCTATGGTATCTAAATACTGTAGCAGAGGCTACCAAGAATGGAAACAGTTGTATAGGGATCATTTGCCAATTACTTCAACAGGCTCTAAAAGCCATTAAATTTTCAAAGATTAAAGGGGCCATAGAAATCACTTGGTTTCCTGGAAATTACTCAGCTCTCAAATAAAACATATCTCTTTGGCATCAACCTTACAAAGGGGGACGGGGGGAGATAACATCTTCTAATTCCTAGACCGACCTTAAAACAAGACAGACATACCCGACACGACACTGAGGCCTGGTGTGCTGGGGCGGGAACTGACCTCCCTGACATCTGTATCATCAGATGTGCTGCCCAGTCCAGAACAGCTCTCCAGCTCTTGTAGGCGCTCCTCCTGCTTTAGGTCCGGGGCCTCTAAGCAAAAAACAGAAGCCACATCAGTGATTCTGTCAACATGCCACAATTTCAGCTTTTGTGACCTAGATAAACAAAGCTCACCAGGTATGAATGAAATCAGTATAAATAGCTTTCTAAGCATAGGCAAGTTAGCAAACTAGTTAGATTAAGTGTTAAAGAAGTTACAGTTGTGATTTCATCCCAATGTAAGTCAGTTTGTTGGGTTTCTAGATCACTATTATAAAGTATGCTCTTGGTTAATATGTAAAGTGGAAAAGAATATATGGAATAGCTTAGCAGTAAATCAACCAGCTCCTAAAAATGAACTTGTACTTAGATGGATACTTGATAGATGATGAGCTAATCCTACTGTCTTGCACTCATCTCCTAACAAGGTTAGCATGTCTGAATGCTTTAGTATAGCATTATAAAACATATCAGGATCACTTAATCATTCTTACACCAAATAAATCAAACAGAATGTAATGCAGAAATAGTTACTTATATTTGCATTCTGTAATTGACATTTAGTTGAAGGTAAAGATTTGTCTTCAAAATCAGAAAAAAGTAAGACTGTAATACATACATAAGAAAAAAGAAAAGTACAAAATACTTTATATATATTTATAAAAAAACCCTACACAGAAGAATGAATTCTTAGGAACACAGTGCTTCGACTTTAATTTATGTATTTTAAACTACATTAAACATCTTTTAAAGGGTAAAATGTTCCCCTAAGATAAACCTAGGCATGCTCACCAGGAAGTCAACCACTCAGGACCTGAACTATGTTGCTACTCTTACCTTGGGATAAGTTGGTGGGAGACACTAAACTCTGTGACCCATTTAGAACCCTAAAGAGTTACAAACAATTGCTTCCAAAATAACTGAACACAGAAAGCACCTTTCATCTTAGTCTGTACTATCCAACAATGTGTCTTTTCTTTTTTAAAAAAATATTTTATTTTAGTTGTAGTTGGACACAATACGTTTATTTTTATTTATTTATTTTTTTTTATGCGGTGCTGAGGATCAAACTCAGGACCTTGCATGTGCTAAGCGAGCGCTCTACCACTGAGCCCCAGCCCCAGCCCCATGTCTTTCTTTCTTTTTTTTTCCAGCTTACTACAGTGTCTTTATTTATTTACTTTGTTTTAAATAAATGACAGTGGAATGCATTACAATTTATATTACACATACAGAGCACAATTTCCATGTCTTTTCTTAATGGGAGGAAAAAACTCTAATTTTCCATTTGAAATTCTTAGCAATGTGATTACTTGTCAAGTGTACATTTGACATAACATAGAAATTAGGAAACCTTATATTTAAAACTTCTGTGCAAATGAAAAAGCAAACAATGATAGCCTACTAACCTGAGTCACTTGGTAGTACCTCTACACTCCAAGCTTCACTTGTTGTCTCTGAGATGGTAGAACCAGTGCAGGGGTCAAGAAGTACTGACCCTGAACCTGGGAGGCACAGCAAACTGCCTAACATGTTCTCCGCGGCTGCACCTGTGTGATCAGTAGAGAGCAAAGTATGAAGAGAGATCTGATAAGAGGCAGTGATGCTGGGGGAAGGAAAAATATTAAGCAAGCAAACTTTATTTTCTACCCACAAAAAAGAAGCCAAGATGAGAGTGATTTCAGTTGGGCATACTTCTAACAACACAAAGTTCCTATTCTAGTCACAACGGCACAAACTCCTGTTCTTCAGATTCCTCCTGCTCAGCCTTGATCCTCCACAGAGAAAACAAATTTGTATTTCAGCAAATTTTATATGTGTCCTAAAGTGCTTTCTAATATTTATAGTCCTACAGGGATTACAAACACTCAAACAAATAGATTTAGCCACAGAAAGTTATACTGGCCCAATATGTTTTCTTCTGGCACACTAGTCACATATTCAGAGCAATAAAATATATTTGCAGAAAAATACACAGCTCCTTTATACTACTCACTCAACTTCAAATATAGCTCATTGCTCAAATACTGCCAAGAATAATACTACTTTGGCATCTGGAACAAAGTAGTGCAAAACCAAATAAGAAATCTATTTACACTATTTAGGAATACAAATAGAATTAAATACTATTGTATGCCTGTGTTAAAAATACTCAAGAAGAGAATGCTCCGTACTTTTGATTAAACCTAGTAAAATAATGATTCTATTCCCTACATGAAAATATTTTGAAAGCAAGTGCATGTCTATAATCTCAGCTACTTGGGAGGCTGAGGCAGGAGGACCACAAGTTCACCAACTCTGGGCAACTTAGCAAGACCCTGTCTCAAAATAAAAATCAAAAGGGCTAGGATGGAGCTCAGGTGTAGAACTCTTGCCTAGCATGATCAGGCACTGTATTCCATTCCCAATAATGAGGGGAAAAAGAGAAGAAGAAGAAGTTACAAGTGAAGTTACCTTTTAAAGATAAATCACAAAAGAACTGCAAATAATGGGGGGCCAGGAGATTAAATGCAGAAAGGAAAAACACTACCTATATTTAGATAAACAAAAAAGTAGCCAAACATCTCGTTCCGTATAGTTAACCAGTTTCCCAGTTAGTGCTAACACATCTGTGTTAACACTCTAATCCATGAAGGGTGGGTGAATCTGAATAACTCAGTAGCAATCTTCCAGAGACACCGAATAGCAGTTACCTGCAATTTCTTGCAAGCGATCTTCATCGATGTTAGGGTCAAAGTCACTTCCCAAGACATCTGTACTCCAGGTCTCACTCACTGTTTCTGATATGTCCCTATCATCTGTTAGTCCCATCATGTCACGAATCTCAAACTTCCTTAGCTTATCATCAAGATTATCTTGTGTCGTAGCTAACAAAAACAGAATTAAGCACTTTGACAATGGAAGCACAGCTATGATTTTTTAATTAACATTTTAATCAACTTTAAAGAACTTTACATATTTGAATTTGAAGTTACATATTTTATCATTATTAGGCATGTATTACCATACCATTCTACACCTAACTGGGCCAGTCTGTTTCCCACTGACCAACTGATCCTTAGTTAAGATTAGCAGAGCTCCCTGCCACCACCACTGGTGACTATAGATGTCTGAGTGAGAAAAACCAACCAGTTGACCCAGATCTAAGAGCAAAAATATATGTTTTGAGGTGGTTTACTGTGCAAGATTAGTGTAGTAATAATTAGCTGATAAACACACACTAAAAATGTTTTTCACTCGACTTGGATAATTGCTATTTACTTTCTAGAGTTTTCATTCCTACCCAGACCAAATTTTCCTCAATTCACATTTTTTTCTTTGTTTTTGTTTTTGGTGCTAGAGACTTGGACTGAACCTATGGTCTTGTGTCAACTCACTTCTTAGAATTTCACAAAATGTAAACTGCCAACTGCCTACATCCAGATCACCCAGAAAGCTTGTTAAAGAGATAATGTTCATTTAGCTTGTCATAAACTAATATTATTTTAAGTTTTTCTGTTATTTGCAGCAAATCTAATTTTAATTGATACATTGATGAACTGATCCTGTAAAACACAGCAATGCTTCTACTGAAGCCACACAGTCAAATGGCAACATTCTTTTCTTTTCTAAACATGGACTAAACCAGGGGCTGGGGCTGTAGTTCAGTGGCAGAGTGCTTGCCTAGCTCATGTGAGGCATTAGGTTCGATCCTCAGCACCACATAAAAATAAGTAAAATAAAGGTACTATGTCCATCTGCAACTACAAAAGATTTTTAAAAAAATGAACTGAAGCAAGATTTCTAGAAGAAAAGCTTGGGAAATAAAAACTTGGAAATGCTCCCCATGTACACTAAAGTCTAAGAATCACTGCCTCCAGCCTACTTCAGGGTATGTGCCCTAAGCTAGAAATCTTACAATGAACAAATCCAAAAAATGTTTCAAATTAATCTTCCCTAAAGCACTAGAGTAATCCCCCACAACCCCTCATTTTCATTAAACCAAAAACTTTCAATGTTTTTAAGTTTCAATTCAGGTATAGACTTCCTCCTCTCCAGATCTCTCCCATTTTTTAATCTTTACCTCCTCACTCATTGCTCTACTTAACACCTGAGTAAGCACTATGGCTTCACTTCTTTTAATTGTTTGTATACTGGTCCTTTTTTCCTACTCCTACCCACTGTCACTGGCCTTCAGGATAGTGTGTTCTTCCAATGTTTTTATCTATACCTCAATGACCAAAACAGTCTTCCCATATGTTCAATCATTTGTGTACCATTCTTGCCCTATTCTAAATTCCTTGAGCCCTAAGTATTTATTGTCATGTCCCTTAAGTATGACAGAATTGAGATAATATAACTGAATTAAAAATAATTCCTACTGGTGTATATAATTTGAACCTAAACAATTCACTTAACAATTTAAACATTTTTTTTAACCTTTATTTTGTTTAGTTTTTTTATGTGGTACTGGGGATTGAACCCAGTGCCTCACTCATACTAGGCAAGTGCTCTACAACTGAGCTATAACCCCAGCCTGACAATTTAAACATATTTTTATAAGAAATAAAGGAACACGAATAAATACAAGTTTAACAGTCATTATGTAATGAAATTTACTCTCTTAGTGAACACAGGCAACTTCTATGCAAACATATTGCTCACCTTGCAATCAGGTGAATTCTTTTCTACTTGTACAACTGTGTTCAACTTCACCTTACCTTGTTCATGTTCTAACAGCTGTAGAGCTTCAACTCCATTACTCCCAGAAGGTCCTGCTCCAAGTTCTGATACAGACTCTCCTTCCAGGTCTAGAGAGGACACTGAATTGGACCGATTTGAAGGACCTAGAGAAATGTTTACTCTATGAGCAATCTTTAAAACATTCATGAGTCACCATGCAATTTTCATGCCTTGATAAGAGATTAAATACTAAAGTGTTTTTAAAAATATACATGCCCTTTGAGAGAGCAATTCTGCATCTAGGAATTCATCTTAAGGAACTTATCAAAAATTAAGCAGGGTGTGGCTGAGGCAAGAGTATCACAAGTTCAAGGCCAGCCTTAGCAACTCTGCAAGACCCTCAGTAATTTAGCAAGACCCAGGGATGTGGCTCAGTGGTAAAGCACCCCTGGGTTCAATCTCTAATCCCTCTCACCGCCCCCCCAAAAAATAATCTAAGATGGCTTGTTGCAGAACTTATAATGTCTAAAAAGTAGAAGCAATCCACTCATTTACTCAGAAGAATGCTGAAATAAATTATCATATGCCCATTTGAAGTTAGAGAAAAAAGCCATTTGAAATCATGTTATTCAAGAATGTAAAATTACAAAAGGACATGTTAATGTTATTAAACAAAAAAGGTTATGAACTATCATTTTCTTGCTACAAATAAGTCAAAGTGTTAACTAATATTAACAGAATGGTAAGATTATAGATGATTAGATCTCTTTTCTAAAATGAATATGTTATTGAAGCTGAGGTTGTGGCTTAGTGATAGAGCACTTGCCTGGCATGTGTGAGACACTGGGTTTGATGTTCAGCACCACATATAAATAAATGAATGAATAAAATTAAAGTCCATCAACATTTTTAAAAAGATATTAAAAATAAATAAATAAATTGAATATGTTCTATATTACTTTTGAAAATTTAGAAAAAAAAGGAGAAGTAATTACGATTACTTCTTTAAAGTTTATTTATTTTAGTTGTTGATGAACCTTTATTTTTTTTTATTTATATGTGGTGTTAAGAATCAAACCCAGTGCCTCATACATTCAAGGCAAGCGCTCTACCACTGGGTCACAACTCCAGCCCTATATTTACTTTTTTTTTTTTTTTTTAATACTTTTAGTTGCCAATGGACACAATACCTTTATTTTGCTTATTTATTTTTATGTGTTGCTAAGGATCGAACCCAGTGCCTCACACATTCTAGGCAAGTGCTCTACCACTTAGCTACAACCCTATCCCCCTACATTTACTCTTAAATGTTAGCAAACTTGGGCTTCTTTTCATTAAAAAAGAAAATTTGTCCTAATATGTAGAATGACATATTCTCACTTAACAATCTTAGCTTTTAATTTTCTTTTTTAATTCCTATTTCCATTGTTTCCTACTTTATGAAGGTGTGTGTGAACAGAGGAATGCAAAACATTAAAAGTATATACAACATCCTGAAATACTAGTTAGTCCATTTTTCCCCATGTGTACATGCATTATATCCTTCTAAAGGAGCGCTATAAGCTTTGGTATATATTTATACTGAGAAACAAAACTTGCTATTATTCTATTTAAGTCTAAATAAAGACTTATATCTTCTTCATTTTATATGACTAACAGCCTCTTGCAATCTTAATTTTATTCAGGATACAATCTTTACAGCCAACTGTTCAAGCTCATTAGAGGAAAATTTCATTACTCTCCTCAGTGAGAGGCACAGATGGTATATTATAATTTATAAGGCTCCTTTAAAGAACACAAAACAAAGTATTACTTGAATCACACAACTCCTTGAATGAAGTAACCCTTCACCTTCAGATATGCCTTCCAGATTATCACTGCAGAGGGAAAAGCGCAAGGTTTTATCAGGTTTACCGTGGAGTTTGTTTTCATCAACAGGGACATCTCCTTGTCCTCCATCGGAAAGCTGCATGTTTAGGACCTGAAAAACAAAACATCAACTTTGGTTTATTACAAATTAAAGACTGCTAATAAAATAAACCACAGCAAATTCATATTTCAGTTCTTCTTTTTTTTTTAATATTTATTTATTTATTTTTTTTAGTTTTTGGCGGACACAACATCTTCGTTTGTATGTGGTGCTGAGGATCGAACCCAGGCCGCACGCATGCCAGGCAAGCACGCTACCGCTTGAGCCACATCCCCAGCCCAAGTTCTTCTTAAATTACCATTTTTAATTAAAACTCATTTATAATGTCTATCGAGCTTTTAAAAGAGTATTTTGGGGATGGGGTGTACCAGGGATTGAACTCAGGGGCACTCAACCACTGAGCCACATCCCTAGCCCTATTTTGTATTTTATTTAGAGACAGGGTCTCACTGAGTTTCTAAGTGCCTCACTTTTTTCTGGGCTGGCTTTGAACTTTTGATCCTCCTGTCTCAGGCTCCCAAGCCACTGAGATTACAGGCATGCACCACCGTACCCAGCTCTACACGCTTTTAAATCCCATAGAACAAAAAGTCTATCAGTTGAGGGCTAGCCTTGCCTAGCATGCATGAGACACTTAGCACCATATATATATAAACAAATAAAATAAAGGTATTAAAAATATAATAACATTATTTTTTTTAAAAGTCTATCACTTGAAACAATGGAAGCTATGCCTTTCCATTATTCCACTAGTGCCACAGACTGAACAATGAGACATAGGATGAACAGTAAGTAAGACTATAGATCAGAAAGCTTCAGTCTTTCTTTGTCTGTATCATGTCATGTGTGACCACAGAGGTCCATTCTGTTAGCTTAGTGGTCAGCAAGTGATTTGGCAGATATAACACCTGGAATACAAAACAAAAACAACTGAAAACCTTCCCAAGTCACTGCAAACTGGCTCTGATTGGGTGCTTCTTCCACCCTTAACCAGACAGTCTGCAAATACATCTTACCCTTCACCATCTGCTGGTAGTCTTCTATAGTCTTTCACAAGTGTATTTATAGCCTTCCAGTCCCTGGATCATGAGAGTTTTTCAATGCCCTATATCTCATATTATGTCTTTCCCTGATCTTTTACTTCAGCTTTTTCATCTGTCTGCTGCTTTTGAAGCTTTTTTTCTTTTTTGGTGGTGGTGATAGGGATTGAACCAAGGGCCTTGTGCATTGTTAAGTATACACTTTACAACTGAGCTACATCCTCAGCCTCTCCATGCTTTTGACAAATGCCAACTGTGAAAGTGCTACAGCTCTGGGGAACATCAGAGGCAGGAGAAACAAAAGCAAGCCCTTGAGCTGATCATTGAAGGATCCACCAGACAGATAAAACTCACAATGATGATTCTTTGAAAATAAGGTCCATATTGCTCTCTTAGACACTAAAAAACTGCACAAGAACGAACACAAGCTGCTCTCTTCAAGGCAGCCACTGAATTGGGGATGGGGATGGTAATTGGGTGAGGTAAAATGTCACAGAGGTCTCTTATAAAACATTTTTTTTTCTTACTTAAGCATTCCACTGTCGTTATAAGTCCCCCGACCAAACACACACATACTATGGACTGAGTCTAGGGCCTTGAACCTGAATGTTCTATCACTGAACTACACTTGCACTATTTCTTAATCTAAGTTTTGAGACAGGGTCTCACTGTATTTCTGAGGCTGGCCTCAAACTTGTGAACCTCCTGGCTCAATTTCCCAAGTAGTCGGGATTACAGGTGTATAACATTAGCTAACAGAGACAAAAATTCTTGAGGTATACTTTCTATTCTTTGGCTGATCAGGAAAAAAAATGGAAGAGATAACTGAAAAGAAAACCAAGAAAGCTGGACATGATGGAGCATACCTGTAATCCCAGCTACTTGGGAGGATGAGGCAGGAGGATTGCATATTTAAGGCTAGCCTCAGCAATCTTGCCTCAGTATAAAAAATTAAAAGGGCTGGGTGTGTAGTTTAGTGGTTCAGTGTCCCTGGATTCAATCCCCAGTACTGGGATGGGAGGGGGAAGACTTTTTAGCTCTGTAAAGCAGGAATACCACTAATGTACCACCAGAAAATAAATAAATAAATGGATGGATGGATGAATGAATGAATGAATGAATGAATAAATAAATACAGATCATTTTCTACAAACCACTGGAAAAGTCTCTTCAATTTCCACACCACAATTTCTTGGATTCCTGGCTCTTCTACTACTAGGAAAATTCCTTTTGAGGTGGGTCTGTTCAGTAACTTCAGTGCCATAGATGTATGTAATGTGAAGGGCTCCCTCTGCAACTGTTTTTAACAAGCTTGGCTTCTGATTATGTGTCATCAGTAGACCCATTACAGATAATGAAGAATACATATTAATACATATTAAATACATTACATATTAAATAAAACTTTAAAGTTTTTCCAGAATTGATATGGTAAAATCCTAACCTAACAAGATGATGTTAAGTATTAGGAGGTGGGGCCTCTGGGTGGGCAACTGGATCATGCATAGGATTCATGCCTTGTAAAACAGGCCCAACGAGTTCATTTGCCCTTTCCATCATGTAAGGACACAGTGCAGAGGCACCATCCATGAACCAGGAATTGGACTCATAAAACACTGAATCTACCTTAATCTCAGAATTTCCACCATTCAGAACTCTGAGAAATAAATTTATTATTGATAAGCCATCCAACCTCTAGTGTTTTGTTATAGCAGCCTGAACAGACTAACATATAAATATTGATTTATTGAAGCAAGTGACCATTAATTTGAAGAAAGTAATTAAATTTCTTAATATTAATAGTTGTTAAGTAATTATAGCCATAGATTCATACCTCATTTTCTGACATCATCCCTGGAGTAAGCTGGGGACCTGTCCCTAAGGAAATGACCAACACTTCTTCTGGTTGGACCTCCTGGATGGTTTCTTGAGATGATCCTTCATGGTCCATATGTAGGTCCATTAGCATATTAGTGCGGCTTCTGCTCCGAGTTGCTAACAATTCAAATAAAACCAAATAATTTAAACAAAAAGTCAGAATAAAGAAAATAGCACAATGAATAAAAAAAAGTTTTAGTGTCAAACATTTGCACATGCACAAAGACTGATGAAAACAAGGATAAAAAGAAGCAAAACAAAACTAAAAATTAGAATCAATTACTCCATTGATGACTATCATACAGATTCTCCTCCAAAACTGATAATCAGAAACAATAATCCACTGACAGGGAGTACCACATATGATCACATCCGCAGTCCAGCAAAACATGCCTATCGATTAAGACTTTTGGATAACAAGAAGAGCACTACCTTATTTCTTTTCAGAAAACCTTCACTATTTTTCCTATAAAATGATTAACTGCCACAGGCTTCCCATAGTATTAACTGAACTTATAAGTATTAGAAACTTTCATGTGGAGCTAGATGTGGTGGCACACACGTGTAATTCCAGCAAATCTGGAGACTGGGGCAGGAGGATCACAAGTTCAAGGCCAGCCTCAGCAATCTTAGCGATACCCTGTCTCAAATAAAAAAAAATAAAAAGGACCAGGGATGTAACTCAGAGGTAAAGTGCCCCTGGCTTTAATACACACTCAGAAAAAAATAAAAAGTAAAGAAATATTTTCATATGGAAACATGATAATCATATAAAGTAATATACTTTAGACAATTACAGACAAAACCACAGTTTTTGAAAGCACATTTTTTTTTCCTGAAATGTATTAACCACTTTTCAGAGATGCAAAAGAGAAGCTCTTCCTATTTTTGAATATGAGGTCTTTATGAGGTCTTTTCTGCTTTATGGAAACATTTTGAATAAATAAAGGATTCAATTATTTTTGCTGTTTTCCCTTACCTATAATTAAACAAACAATACTTCAGAAAAAAAAAAAAAACTGCATATCTTTTAAGAACTTTTTGGGGGCTGGGATTGTGGCTCAGTGGTAGAGTGCTTGCCTAGCATACGCGTGGCCCTGGGTTTGATCCTCAGCACCACATAAAAATAAATGAATGGAATAAAGGTATTGTGTCCAACTACAACTAAAAAAAAAAAAAAAAAAAAAAAGAACTTTTTGGGGAGGCTGGTACTGGGGACTAAACCCAGGGCCTTGTACTCTACCAGTAAGATACCTCCCAAGCATATCTACTTTTTTTTTTTTTTTTTTTAATGGTACCAGGGATTGAACTCAAGGGCACTCAACCACTGAACCACATCCCCAGCCCTATTTTGTATTTTATTTAGAGATAGGGTCTCACTGAGTTGTTTAGTGCCTTGCCATTCCTGAGGCTGGCTTTGAACTGGTGATGCTACTGCCTCAGCCTCCTAAGCTGCTGGGATTACAGGTGTGTGCCAACGCACCAGCTCCCAAGCATATCTTTTAAGAACTTTTAGACATAAAACATTTAGATTGCTTATGACAAGTTCTCTAAGAGTTTTGGTCTTCTGTGATAAGTTTCCATTTTTCTCAGAGCAATAAAATTAAATTCAGCTAGAATACTAAATAGAAATTATCTTTCATTGCAAAATAATTAAAACACACATAAAACAAAAACACTTTATAGAAACAAAAATCTTTCAACTTCACTTTGAGTAAAATCTGACCTCCTTGAAGACAGAAAGAGGCAGAAATATAAACAATTGTCTTTAATTCAGAATGTTGTACATCAGTTCATTCACTACTTTTAGTATGACACTTTAGGACACATATCAATTTCCAAGAGTCTAAAATAGGCCTATTCACAACTTTATTTGATGTCTTTCACAATCTTCTACTGAATTGTGAACTTAAATTCAACTTCATGAGCAAGTCTATGAATTTAAACTTTATAACTTACATAAATGCAAGTAATCAAATTTCAAGTAGCAACTTAATAAACAGCAAAAGCAACATGCACACCGAACATACTTGTAAACACTATTTCTTAAATAAAAGTTATATAAGAGAAAGAACAGCCTGTTACCCACCAAATGGGGTTACTAGTGTAATATGAGCAGTAAGATTGGTGGCTGAGGAATCCCAGGCAGTGATGGCTGCTAACTGTTGTCCTGGGTTGCGAAAACATTAAATAGAAAGAAAATCAGCCCTTTGAAGAACAGATACATTTTTTAAAGTATGCAATAAATGCAATGACCAGGACATGTGGCTATACAAAACAATACTGGGCAAATATTTTAAATCTCTTTTCCATTAAACACAATTTTAATGACACTTTCAGATGTAGGAAATGAAAAAAACTAATGCACAGCAATAGACAATGTGTGTGTGGGGGGCCTCTTTATTTACCCAAAATTGTGTAGTTCTTCATGTTAAGAGAATAAAAATAGCCCATATTATTAAAGATTACTAAGTATAAAAATGTTATTTTTTTTTTCTATTTTTAACTAGAGCTGACATTTTGAGATGCAGAAAACCAGACTTGAAGAATCTGAAATCATATGCCTGATGATCTAATTCCATATTATATTAAATGTAAGGTACATTAATTTTAAGAAGTTGTTCTTAACAAATCAGCTCATGGAAGTTTAAAAAATAAAATTCCATTCTTCAAAATGCATAAATTATAACAGCTACTCATATTCCTACATGTTGCTGACCTCCTCATCCTTACAAAATACTCTGCTCCTAAATACTTTCCCTGCTTGTTTACTCTAACTTTATTCATCCCTCAAGAGAGAGTGTCAACTTCAAGATCCTCTCTTATACTACCACCATTTGGATAAATTAGTATCCTCATGCTTATCTCCAGCAGAACACCTTAGTAATTTGAAACACACTGGTCTTCTTCCAAACTACGTATCAGCAGCTAACTTAAGAGTATGGGTGTGTCCTAACGGTCTTTTTATTCCCAGGGCCTAACACAGTGCTTCATGTGCAAAGTAGATATCAGCTGTCCTCATAGGATGCTTCCATGGCTTAAATAACATTTATAAATGTCTTACCTAGTATCTGGTACATTCTACATGCTCAATTAATTTTTGTGTATATGTAAGTAGATGGATAATAAATGTTTGCTAAGTGAATAAAGCTTAATAAACATAATTCTTAAATGAATAAATAAGATAAAGTGAAACTTTTGCTTTATAACATTAAGATATTTTAGCTGAACTGCTAAGAAACTGATTAGTAAGGAAAATAATGGAAAACAGTAACTATTATTTTCCACCTAATTAATGCAAACTTCTAACAGAATATTACTTATTACATTATTACATTATTTAGAACTTTACAGAAAGGAAACTGCTACCTAACTAGAATAATGATTACTTTTAAGAAATGACATTTTCTATGTCTAGATTAAAGACTGCTGATAAACCTTAACTAATCTTGTATAATTTTTAAAAACTGAAATACTATCAGTAAACATGGAAAAAAAGAATTTTTCAAAGTATTTAAAACTATATTCTAAAACAAAGCAATAACAGGGGCTAATGAAGAAATACTGAATTTAAAGAAAACTCCAATATGAGAAAGTCTCATTACCTATAGGTAATCGATTCTTTTTATTTGCTGGAGTGGTTGCTGGGGAGAGCTGAGGGGTATTATAAGGAGTCATTTCTAAACTGCTGCTTTTTCCTGGCTTAGCCTGGGGTAGATTTGCCAATAAATTGTCAAGAGCCATTCTATCTTCTCTCAGTTGATCTCCAGACATCACACTCTTCATGAAATTTACCTGGCAAAAGTAAAAAAACACTGGCTAGTGAAATCAATTTTTCAAACAGAATTTATATTTCTCACACAATGTACTCATCTATGACTCTGTGCATGCTTAGCTAAAATAATTTTGAGAAAAATTCTATAAAAGAATAAAAGCCATTACCAGAGTAATAAGCTGACTGTAGGTTATATAAACCACAGTTCTGCTCAACCCTTCCAGAAGATTAACAGAGGACATTGGAGGGGTCTCCACTGCACGGCCCCCAATCACAACATCAAGGAAAGCAGCAACACAGCTCTGTTAAAACAGAAAAATATCAAAGTGAAAAATTTCCCCTTTAAAATACTGGAACAAAATTTCTGATTAAGGTAGCATAAGCAAAGTTTAATTTAATAAAAATTATTTTAAACTCAATTTAAAAAGATGAATCTCTTTATATAATGGTAAAGAATAATCTCAAGATATTCAGGCAAGGAAAACAAATATAACAGGGAACATTGTCTACATATGCCATTTCTGAAAAAGAGAGAGGTGGTGAGTGGGACAGCATATGTAAGAATATGCATATATACCTAGACCTTTAGGATACACACAAAAAATGGATAACTTCAAGAATATTTTGAAGAAGGAGGTTGGAGATGAGAGGTGAAAGGGAAATTTCACAGAATAACCTTTAAACTGAAAACCAGGATGAATGAATATCCTACTCAAAATCTGACCAGTGAAATTTTTATTTAACTAACTGAATAATATTATAAATGTTAATTTATGAAATACGCTAAATATTATAAGATTTTTGTGATTGATATATCCATAGGTTGGATTAGTGATAATTTTTTGAGGCCAGCCTCCACAATTTGGCTGGTTTAGTAAAATTTAAAATAAAATAATCTTAATAGTTCTTTCATTCTCATTAGAACGACATCTCTCCAATAAATCTGTAAAGGAGATAGTAATCTTTAGTGGAATCTTCCTGTTATGAGGAAGATTCCACTAAAAATTCACATGTAAATCAATGCGAAGAAGGTTCAGAGGAGAAATGATTGGGTTGTAAGAGTCTTGACCCAATCTCTGATAGGGATTAACAACATAACTGAAGGGATAGGGTGTGGCTGAAGGAGGTAAGAACTGGGGCATGGCTATGGGATATGTATTTTTTATCTCCAGAGGGGAGTCTCTGCTTCTTGATCACCATGATGTGAGCTGCTTCCCTCTGCCACAAATTCCATGATGTTCTGCCTCATCTCAAGCTCTGAGGAATAGAATGCCAAACTTGTATGGACTAAGACCTCCAAAACCATGAGTCCTCAAATAAACTCTTCTTCCTCTATAATTGTGCTGGTCAGGTTCTTTAGCCACAGCAGCGAAAAAGCAGACTAAAACCCTTCCTAAATTTAAAATGCTGCTGATTCAAATACTGTAGCTAATTAAAAAGCTAATTAACCACTGTATTTATTAGTTTACACATCCTCTAAGGACAAGATTTAAGAAAGAGAAAAGTTAAGATCAATGATACTTTGCCAGAATTTTCTACAAACAGTATTTCACATGGCACAATATTAATTCTTACTTTGTCAAATTTTCCAAGGCTGCTTTTTGTCCGAGGATCTCCCTCTTCAGAGCCAGTCATTGCTAACTGCTGCAGAAGGCGGCCAACCTGCAACCCAAAGCAGTGGTGGGCAGACACAGGCTACAGATACTTATGAATTCTGCTCTGTGAAAGTACTCCTGTTCTATTCTAAAATTCTATTTCATAATAACATTCAGACTCACCCAACCAGGCATACAAAATAGTGTCCCCTATAAAATGTGTATCTTGTCTATGTTAACTTTTACTATTTTCAGATTAAGTGTTATAAAGAGGAGTAGAAAATCTTGCTGTAATTTCTCTTTAACACAACATATCAACATGATAGGAAATTAAAAGTACATTTGTTTCTCATAATGTACTTTCATGTGTTAGGAAAATTTTAAAATAATTTATAAAGAATGGGGGCTGGGGATGTGGCTCAAGCGGTAGCACGCTCGCATGGCATGCGTGCGGCCCGGGTTCGATCCTCAGCACCACATACAAATAAAAATGTTGTGTCCACCGAAAACTAAAAAATAAATATTAAAATTATTAAAAAAACAACTTTTATTAAAAAAAAAAAAAGAATGGGCTGGGGATGTGGCTCAAGCGGTAGCACGCTCGCCTGGCATGTGTGCGGCCCAGGTTCGATCCTCAGCATCACATACAAACAAAGATGTTGTGTCCGCCGAAAACTAAAAAAATAAATATTAAAAAAAAAATTCTCTCTCTCTCTCTCTCCCCCACTCTCTCTCTCTTAAAAAAAATAAATTATAAAGAATGACTCACTATTGCTGAGGATATAGCTCAGTTGGTAGAGTGCTTGCCTCACATGCACAAGGCCCTGGGTTCAATCCCCGGCACCACACACAAAAAAGAGAATGACTCACTAAACTACTTCAAGGTAACATGAAGGACTTTTCCCTATAGAGTCCACAAAGCCCTTAATAGAAGTTTTTGGGTTTTTTTGCTTTGTTTTGCAGCACTGGGGATTAAATCCAGGGGCACTCTATCACTGAGCTATATCTTCAGCCTTTTTTATTTTTGTTTTGAGACAGGGTCTTGCCAAATTGTGGAGGCTAGCCTCAAACCTGCATTTCTTTTGTCTTAGCCTTCCCAGTAGCTGGATTACAGGTGTGCACCACTGTGCCCAGATAAAGTAGAATATTCTTTTTCTAGATTTAAATGCAAACAATTTGGGGCTGGGGTTGTGGCTCAGTGGTGGCACACTAATCTGGCATGCGTGAGGCACTGGGTTCAATCCTCAGCACCACATAAAAATAAAATAAAGATATTGTGTCCATCTAAACCTAAAAAATAAATATTTAAAAATAAATAGATAAAATAAAAGTATTGTGTCCATCTACAACTAAAAAAAAATTTTTTTTTAAATGCAAACAGGGGCTGGGGTTGTGGCTCAGTGGTAGAGTGCTCACCTAGCACGTGTGAAGCCCTGGGTTTGATCCTCATGACCACATAAAAATAAATAAAATAAACGTATTCTGTCCAACTACAACTAAAAAATAATTTTTTAAAAAATGCAAACAATTCCCACAAAACATAAGCTGTTAGATAAATACTAATTCATAGAGCAAGTTCCTTATTGCCAAAAAATGAATTATTAATCTATTCTCTTTAAGGACTCTGTGTAGAAAGTTAACATCATTAGAGCTTTATCTTCTTAGCATCTGGGATAACCCTCTTTTCACTCATTTTGGAAATATGCTATTCAGTATGTACTAGAATGATGAAAATAAAATTACAAATGCTATCATGAGGAAACATGTAACATTTACAGAAGACAAAAAATTAAAAATTTATTTCAGGGATTTCTATATAATGAATTGCTAAATTCCCAAGATGATAAAACTGATCATGAAAAAAGGCTTATTACTACCTTAAAAAAAAATTCCAATGATAGTCTATTCTAAACAAACCAAATCTCTTTGTCACAGTATTTTGGGGGGATAAAATGATTAGAAGACTTGTAGAGCACATGCTGAGCACTTGCTTAGCATGTATGAGGCCTTGGGGTCAACACCCAGCACCAAAAGAAAAAGGAAATCTTCTACAGAAACAACATGATTTCAATACTTCAGATGATTAAAATCCTTTATTTGAAACTCTTAGAGCTAAAAGAGCTTCAGACTTCAGAATTTAAGAGATTTTCGAAAGGTAATTTAGTGTATATATGCAGAACATCCAGTATATAGGGTGGTGGCATCCTATAGTCAAACACATTAACATATCTGCAACAAGTATCTGCTAGCACTAAAAGGAATATCAGGACTGAGAGTGCTTGCCTAACACTCAGGGTCCTGAGTTCCATCCCCAGCACTGCAAAAAATAATAATAAATAATAATAAAAGGAATACCAATTTTAAATAGCCTTGTGTTAGTTCAGTTCAGGTTTTGCTCCAGCAAATGAAGTACAAAAGACATTCTCAGTTTTTAATCATTCTGGATTTTGAAATTATAGAACCAGGATGGTAGAACTGTCTCAGAAAATCGAATCAACTATATATTTAAGGGGTTGGGGATGTGGCTCAAATGGTAGCGCGCTCGCCTGGCATGCGTGTGACCTGGGTTCGATCCTCAGCACCACATACAAACAAAGATGTTGTGTCTGCCAAAAACTAAAAAATAAATTTAAAAAAATTCTCTCTCTCTTTAAAAAAAAAAAACAACCTATATATTTAAGACTGTGAGGGCTGGGGATGTGGCTCAAGTGGTAACACGCTGGCCTGGCATGCGCAAGGCACTGGGTTCAATTATCAGCACCACATAAAAATAAATAAAGATACTGTGTCCACCTAAAAAAAATAAATAAATATATATAAAAAAAGAGTGTGAGGATTCCATTTTAAAATTAAACCCAAATTTTTTAATGACTACATTATTTTAAATCCCAATATGACTGCTTTTATTTCATAAGAAGCAAATACTTAGGAGAGTTGGAGGAAAAGAAATGATAAGAATATATAAACACTGTCTTCATATTCTCTGTTCCCACCCCCCAGTCCAAATCAACTGATTTTAAAACCAAATGCCACAATAATAATAATAGTAAAAGCATACCTGCATTAGATTAAATCTTGCCACTTCATTAATAGGAGCATCAGAAATTATGCCATACTGTTCTGGATTGACAACTGCAGGACAAATAAAGCAAGCCAAGAGGAGATCAGTACACATTGCCCTGACCTCTCCGACTTCCAGTCTGTCTACACAGGAAAGAGTTTTGTACATTTGTGACACAATCCACCTCAAACTATGTGGAAAGCAATATGTATTCTGTTTGAGATAACCAATAAATTTGTTCACCAACGCCACCAGTTTGGCTTCATTGGATTCCACCATCTCTTGAACCTTTTGCCTAAATCTATCTGAGCCTTTCTCTCCAAAGAGTTTTTCCTGTTGATAAGGGGAGAATCTTTCAATTAACTTGTTTGGATCTGTTTCCAGGTGATCTTCATCTTCAACAAGCAGTTGCATGATTGGCTCGTGTAAAGTAGCTGTGAGGAAAAGTTTGGCAGAAAAGAGTCCCTCGGAAAAAAGTTTAAATAAGATGCTGAAGGCACAAGTTCCTCTCCTCAAAAGTCGCCTGGGGTTGTCACTTTCTTTAAGTTCAAATTCAATCAAGTATCGCAAAACCTGAAGGAGGTAGCTTTCATCTTCTTGCATAATACAATTGCCATATAGAGAGGTAAAAACTGTGTAAATAACACTTTGTGTGTTCTCCTGATTAAGTTTTTCTCCAGCAACCAAAGAGGAGGCAATAAGACGAGGATTCTCCCTTAATCTACTCAAGAATTCTCCATAAGCAGTCTCCTGAAATCCTAACTGCTTATAACCATCAACAAACTGTGTATCTTCCAAAATCTTGGCATGCTGGCAACATTCAGCAGGGGAAGCTTCAGCACTAAAAAAATAAGCAAATAAGCAAAATAATATCAATAGCAATAATAATATAAGACATGTAGTATACAGAAACATGAAACTATGAGTTGATTGTAGTCCCCACCTAAAGATCACTAAAACCTGCTAAAATCTTTTTTTTTAAAATATTTTTTAGTTGTACACGGACACAATATCTTTATTTATTTATTTTTATGTGGTGCTAAGGATCGAACCCAATGGCTCACGCATGCTAGGCAAGTGCTCTAGCTGAGCCACAACCCTGCTAAAATCTTTTAGAACAATAGCATATGAATTAGTAAATATAAAACTATAAAGTACAAAGGAGTCTAATTTCTTCATATAAAATCAAGCTCAATGAAAAATATCAATTTGAAGGTTCTAACAACTATTACCCAGAGATGCACCCTATTAATTTAAAAATTAATTAAAAAATTCGGCCAGGATAGTGGCAATGCCTGTAATCCCAGCAGCTTAGGGATCTGAGGCAAGAGGATCATGAGTTCAGGGCCAGCCTTAGCAACTTAGTGAGGTCCTCATCAACTTAGTGAGAACTTGTTTCAAAATAAAAAATAAAAAGGACTGGAGACATGTCTCATTGGTAAAGCACTCCTGGGTTCAATCCCCTGTATGATAAAAAAAAACCTGCTAGTTAAATACTGCTTATTTATGGTTATAAACACAAGAAAGTGTACAAATATTCAAGTACTGGGCTAGGGCTGTAGCTCAGTATTAGAGCACTTGCCTACCAAGTGTGAGGCACTGTGTTCGATCCTCCACACCACATAAAATAAATGTATTGTGTCCATTTATAAAAAAAAAAATTCAAGTACTAAAAAGTGATCAAAACTAAGTCTATGTGTGGTATATTGTACAACCTTTTTCAACAGCAATCTATACTTCAACCAGGATTTTTACTTCTGGAAGCAAATCTTAATAAAATAAGCCTTCAAGAGGATGTAAAAATTGTCAACAATGTTTATAGCAGCACACATTCCCCCAACTTACCTTTATTGAGGTAAAATACAACAAAGTGCCTAAATCTCAAGTGCATAGGTTGGTTGATTTTTATGTATGTATGCACCCAACACTCGGATTAAGATGTTAACAGTCAGATGCAATGGTACACATCTGTAGTCCCAGCTACTTGGGAGACTGAGACAGGAGGATTACTTGAGCCCAAGAGTCTGAGACTAGCCTGGGCAACATAGCCAAACCCCATCTCAAAAACAAAGCAAAAAAAACTGAAAAAAAAAAAAAAAAAAAAAAAAAAAGTACCGTGTTGGTGGGGCCTTGTGCATGTGAGGCAAACACTCTACCAACTGAGCTATATCCCCAGCCCAAAATGTACCATTTTAAGCACCCAAAGTATGCTTTTACATGCCCATTCCTAATCAATACTATCCTTGCAAGTCCAAGAAATAACCATTATTCTGATTTCCATTATCAAAGATAAGTCCTGTCTCTTTTTGAATTTCAAAATGAAATTTTTTTATATCTGACTTCTTTAAGATTATACCTCAGCACTATTGAAATTATGGGGATTGAACCCAGGGGCAATCTACCTATCACTGAGCTACATTCCTAGCCCTTTTTACTTTTTGAGACAGGACCTCCCTAAATTGCCCAGGCTAGCCTCAACCTTGTGATTTTCCTGACTCAGTCTGCTGAAATGCTGGGATTACAGGTGTGTATCCAACAACATTCCTATTCTTAGAATTAAAAACTGCTTCTGGGAACAACAAAACATTGAGAGATTAACACAATGAAATATGTGGTTTCTAAACCTAAAATATACATATAAAATATCAAAACATGGAAGTGTATATATTAAATAATATTATGAGAAAAGTAGAATACAAGGTAATTTACTCTCTACAAAAATAAAATATCATATGTATAAACACAAAATTAATTAGTGTAGTATAAAATCTTAATACTGGGGCTGGAGTTGTGGCTCAGCGGTAGAATGCTCCTCTCGCATGCGCGGGACCCTGGGTTAGATCCTCAGCACCATGTAAAAAATAAATGAGTGAAAAAAGATATTGTGAATAAATATTTTAAAAATAAAACAAAATGTTAATCCTTAGTTATAATTTTCTGAAGCAGTACTTAATAAAATAAACTATTTTATAAGCAAAGACTCAACATTGATTCAAACTATCTTTAACCGTGCACTTGATTGGAAATAGACTGTTAGTTACAATTAGCATAGAATTACAGTGGTTCATAGAATTTCTAACCTGAAAATATTTTCTTTACCTGGTTATGATAAGCCGATCCAAATTAATTCTCTGTTGCTTTGCAATCCATGCTGTACGATACAACTTTTCAGCTGTCTTAAGTACATCCGCATTGAGCCTCTGAATGAGCTGTTTCTCAGAGTTTACATATAAGCGCTCCTGCTTGAGGTGATGTGCCAAAGTATGAATATCGAGCTTCACCATTTTCAAACGTGAAAAAGGTACAAAAATCAATCACTAAAAGTAAAAGAACAAAATTTAAGTTGGTCACGTAAACCCTCTTCTAAAATCAAAAGGGGTGGGAGAATATACTAAGATTTAGATTACACTTAGTAACACTATTAACTCTAATTTTTAAAATAATCTATATATTTTTATTACAGAAGCTTTAAAGGTTTAGTTTTTAAAATTGGTAAACACAGGTAAGAAAAAAGAAGGAAAAAGTTCCTAATAAGGTCATTGCTCAGAGACAGCTTCTGCAAACACTGTTAAGTCCAGTATCTACCTACTACCCTGAAGTCATCCTTGACCATGCTCTTTCACATCACAATCAACACATTCTGTTGATTCTGTCTTCAAAATATAACTCAAATCTGACTATGCCCTGCTTCCACTGCTAGCCAACTACCATCTCTCACCTGGAGGTCTATAATCACCACTTCCTAACTCACCTCCCTGTTTCTTGTTTTGAACATTTGGAGTCTGTTCTCTTCATAGGGTTAACTCAGATCACTTTATCCAGCAAGAAACCATCTGAAGACTTTACCTTACATTTAGAATGAAATATGAAGGTCCTACCTGATCTCCCCCAGCTATTTCTCCAGTCCCATCTTCATCATTCCACCCTAGCTCATGCAGCTCCAGACATACCTGCCACTTTGCTATCTCCTGAACAGGCCAAGTTGCCCCTCCCTCAAAGCCTCCACATTTGCTGATCCCTGTCCAGAAGGTATTTCTTCCAGATAGCTCCAAGACTAGTGCTTTCACTTCACACAGGTTTCTCTTGCTTAAATATTTTCTTAGGCCTATCCAAACAACTGTTTCTAATATAGAAAAGATTACTTCCTAAAAGCACTTGCTCCTAGCTGGCATTCTGCTACAGACATGTACTTGCATGTTAGTCAAACTTATTGGATGGCTTCTCTGCTAAACAGTAAATGCCACCAGAGCCAGGACTGAATAAATAGTTGCCAAAGATATAAATGAAATCACATAAATTTTGTCTGTCTTGTGGCTAAACAAATAGCACATGTATTTTAAAGCATTATTATTTAAGATATACTCTTGAACCTAGAATGTCTGACTAATGTTTGTACAATAATAGAAACATCTATTACACAGATCACAGAAAACAATGTTGTGTGTCCAGAAATGCATTAAAAATGAAACATACTGGTCATGATGGTGCATGTAATCCTAGCGACTCAGGAGGCTGAGGCAAGAAGATTGCAACTTAGTGAGGCCCTAAACAACTTAGTAAGACTCTGTCTCAAAATAATAAAAAGGGCTGGGGATGTAGCTCAGTGGTAAAGCGCTCCTGGGTAAATCTCCAGTACCGAAAAAAGAAAGAAAAACGAATATTTGCCAGACATAAAGAAGATGGTGGGCAGGTAAACTTCTGAAGAAACAAACAAGCAAAGGCATGCAGTATAACAAAGTACATTCGGAGGGGCTGGGGATTTATCTAGTGGTAGAGTGGTTGCCTAGCATGCATAAGGTTCTGGGTTCCATCCTGAACACTGCAAAAAATAGAAAAGGCGGGGGTTGTGATAGTACATTTAGAGACCTACACATAGATTGTTATAGCCTGGGGCTATGTGTGTTTCTATGTGTTAAGAGTGAGGACTGGGGAAGGAAGAAAGTCATAAAGAGAGAGAAGGCTACAGGGACAGAGGGTACAAGAAGTTAGAGTTAAGAAACATGAATTTTGCCTTGAGTTAATGGGAAGAACTTTAAATGAATTAACATGATTAAATTTATATTTGAGACTATAAAAGATGAGGAAGTAGAGCAGGATACAGTGGAGAACAATTGTAATTCCAGCTACTCAAGAGGCTAAGGCAGGAGGATTACAAGTTTCAGTCCAGCCTTGACAATTTAATGACATCTGTCTCAAAAATAAAAAATAAAAAGGGCTGGGAATATAGTTCAGTGGCAGAGCACTCACTTAGTACGCATGAAGTCCCACGTTTGATTCCTAGGACAAGAGAGAAAGGGAAGAGGAAGTGGGGATGAGACTAAATAGAGACTAAGAAACTGTTCAGCAAGGAATGTTGCAGTTGGGCAAAAAAAAAACAAACGGACAAATTTGAGAGAAGTAAGGAGGTAGAAAATCGAAGATTTGCTGACACCTACATATGGAAGTAAGGTACAAATTTCCAACTCTGATAGACAAAGAGGGTGTGGTGTTATTCATTACAACTGAGCACATGAGAAAATACTTTATAAATAGAAAATTGTTCCTGGTGTAATTCAAAGTTCTTAGAACTTTGCACAATATCCCTGAGACAGGTACTTTATAGCTAAGGAATCTAAGCCCAGGGGTATTAAGAAACTTGTATACCACATAGGTGAGAGGTGAGAGCACCAATACATGATTATTATTACTTTGATCTCTACATATGCCTTGAACAACTTTCCATCACTTTAACTCAATTATATTAATTATAAAAAAAAAAATACTCTTCTCCCCTGAAAACACAATCTCTCAAAAACCCTTTCTTGTTTTCCAATTTTTTTCTACATCTGTTCTTCCTGTAGAATCTCAGTGTATCTCCAGCCAGCATTCTTCTTCATACTGTGTCATTTGACACTTAAATTCCATCCTTGTAGCATACTTGTGTCTCAATTATTTAACACCCCACCAAATGAATATATTTAAAGCACTTACCACAATTATGTTACTTTTCTTCTGCTTTCAACATTTTCAATGGTTTTCTATTACTTTCAAGTAAACAGCTCAGTATTTAGGTATATGGCATTTACAGCCTTCTGAAGCCGAGTCCCAAATAATCTACCTGCCATTGCTCCATTATATGAATCTTTTAACTTCACAAAAATCTTTTACTTGATAACCTAACAAAACCCTTTTTTAGTGACCTTGCATGCTCCTACATTTCTGCAGTATTAACATGAAAATCAAACATGCCCTGCACTATACCCCTCTATTGCCCTGACTGCTATTTAAATATCTTACTAACTCATATTTCTCACATGTTCACATCCTATCACCTTCTGAAAATAGATAAGACTTTCAGGCTAAAATACCTAATATTTTAGCCACTAGACACATGAAATTATTGAATTAAAATTAAAAATGTAGGGCTGGGACTGTGGCCCAGTGGCAAAGCGCTTGCCTTGCAAGAGGCACTGGGTTCGATCCTCAGCACCACATAAAAATAAATAAAATAAAGCTACTGTGTCCATCTACAACTAAAAAAAATTTTCTTAAAAATTAAAATTTATGGGCTGGGGATGTGGCTCTAGCAGTAGCGTGCTCGCCTGGCATGCAAGCAGCCCGGGTTCAATCCTCAGCACCACATACAAACAAAGATGTTGTGTCCGCCAAAAACTAAAAAATAAATATTAAAAAATTCTCTCTCTCTCTTTAAAAAAAATTAAAATGTATGAGGGGCTGGGGTTGTAGCTCAGTGGTAAAACATTGCCTCGCATGTGTGAGGCACTGGGTTTAATCCTCAGCACCACATAAAAATAAATAGATACTGTGTGTTCATCTACAACTAAATAAATATTTTTTAAAAATTAAAATGTATGATACATGGAGCTGGGGCTGTAGCCCAGCATCAGAGCACTTGCCTAGCATGTGGGAGGCACTAGGTTCGATCCTCAGCAGCACATAAGAATAAATAAATAAAATAAAGGTATTGTGTCCAAATATAACTAAAAAATATATTTTAAAAACCTTATAAACATGTATAATACACATTTTTTATTTATTAATATTTTTAGTTGCAGATTGGCACAATACCCTTATCTTATTTATTTATTTCATTTTGAGACAGGATCTCACTAAATTACTGAGGATGTCCTCAAACTTGCAATCCTTCTGCCTTGGTTTCCCAAGTCACTGGGATCACAGGCATGCACAACCATGCCTGGCAAATTCAACTTTCATAAAACATTTTAGTTGAATTTAAATCCAGTCTCATAGTCATACTAGCCACCATTTCCATTACTAAAGGACCACACATACCTAGCAGTCACTATATAAGCAGTGCAGACAGAACACTTCCACATCACAGAAAATTCTACTGAATAGCACTGCTCTAGAGCACAAATAATGTCTGAATCATCTCTGAACTCAAAAAAAAGAAAAGTATCTTGCACAGAGTAAGCACTTTAAAAATTACCTGTTTCTTTTATTTCAATTCAATACAAGCAAGCTTACTTTGCCAGATTAATATTCATTCATATAAGCTTTTCTATTATACCAGCAAAATTATTCCTAGCATTCTTTTATTTTTTTAACTCAGAGTACTGTAATTTTTTTTTCAGGGGGTGGAGTATCAGGGATTGAACCCAGGGGTGCTTAACTACTGAGTCTTATCCCCATCTCTCTTTATTTTGAGAAATGGTCTAAGTTACTGAGGCTGGCTTTGAACTTTTGATCCTCCTGCTTCAACCTCCCCAAGAGCTGGGATTACAGATGTAAACCACCACACAAGGCAATTCAAGAGTCTTGATGGGCTCTTGACTGAGGGAAAAAAGAAACAAAAACCATTTTGGTGACACCAGAGAAATCTTAATATGGATTAGATATCTGTATTTAAAAAATAGTGTTGATTTTATTATATATGACACTGGTATTATGGTTTATACAGGAAACTATTGTACTTTTAAGAAATGCACTCAACAGGATGTGATGGCACACACCTGTAAACCCAGCAATTTGGGAGGCTGAGGAGGAGGATCACAAGATCAAAATCAGCCTCAGCAATTTAGTCAGGCCCTAAGCAATTCAGTGAGACCCTGTCTCTAAATAAAATATAAAAAATAGGGCTGGGGATGTGGTTCAGTGGTTGACTGCCCCTAAATTCAATCCCCAGTACCAAAAAAAAAGTAAAATAAAAAGTTGTTTTTTTTTTTAATTAGCAAAATGTTAAATGAGTTGTGGGTATATTGTTGAATACTGTTGAAATGAGTAGTGGGTATATGGTGATTACTGTACTAACCTTCAAGTTTTTATGTTAGAAAATTTTTATAACTAAAA